GATACTCCATAACTTTTTTATAGAAAACAAAATTTGATAGGTTTAAATATATTGTAAGGTTCAGACATTCAGGGTTACCCACAAAGAATGAGACTTCAGAAACTACTGCAGGAACTGCAGAGAAGTAATATTAATTATTCTCTGCAATCGTAAACATGTTTCTTTCTTTGCCTAATAGATTTATTAGCTATTAAAAGATTGTATTCAAGGTAGAAGATTTAATTTAACCTTGGAATTGGGATTTAGAGTTTCATGTCGTCTTGACAGTCTCATCCTTTGTGGGTAACCCTGTATGTGAGAAACATAATAGAAACAACAAAAAATCACTCATTCAGCCGTAAATTTCTTAAATAGCCATCACATTAAGAAGACGACATTTAAAGAAGTTGTTTGAAATTGTAAAAAAAGGAGGTAGTTTAATTTAGATTTTAGCAGGTAAACTAAGTCAATTTTCGTATTGTGGGAGCAGAGACAAAATGTTCAGGGTAGTCTGAAGATTAAGAAAATATTATCAAAATCACAATATTTACTGTCATTACTTAGGCGTTACAGATTTTGTAAAAGAAAAAGTTTCTTTTGCAATTTTCTCTTAACACATTGCACATTTTCACACAAGGGTTCCCTTCAAACCTAAAGTGTATTTTATGGTGCGTCATTTTTAAAATTGATATTGCTCTTAAAAATAAGCCATTTTTTAGGCAAATCAGAATTTAGATTTGGAAAAAAAAGTTTTACAGTTTACATTAAGAGGAATCATCCTTATTACATATTAACACTGAAATATTGGGATCTAAATATATATGTATTGCGTGACGCGGCTGGATTTTTAAAAATCACACTTTAAAGGCCCTAAATATACCATTTAAAAAAGTAGTTTTGCCCGGAAGAGTCAAATGTGGTGGTACGGAAGGGAAAATAGTGGTGGCTCATGGCTGCCGGAAGAGAAAAAAGCTAATATGTGGCACGGAAGGGGAAATAGTGGTGGCTCATGGCCGCCTGCCTTCCCCCGCTCACACAGTACACTTCAAACACAAACGATTTACTGTAGTTCATCCTTTACTTAAAGAGTTGTTTTTTATTACTTTAAAACCCATCCACCGACAACTAGAATATAAAAGAGAAAATGCAAAGGGTCAAAGGCTCACTGCACAGCTGGGAAATTGGGAAAGAGACTGAACTGTTAAATCCGCGTGAGTTAGCAGTCGAGAGAGAGATCAATTATTACAATGAAATGAAATGAAATGAAATGAAATGAAATGAAATGAAATGAAATGAAATGAAATGAAATGAAATGAAATGAAATGAAATGAAATGAAATGAAATGAAATGGCTTCTTTTGTTCTGCCTTTTTTCTTTTTCTTTAGTACAAAATGATGTGCTATGGTGAACAGAAACCTCGTATCTACGCAAGGAGAATTGAATAGAAGGTGGTATCCTATCTAATGTAAACAAACATGAGTTAGTATACGGTGAATCTTCATCTAACGCCAGAGATGTGCCAGATGTCTGTTTATCATTTGTGTTATTGTTTACAATATTTATTTTTGCTGTTACGCAAAAACTAGTTCTTCAGCAGTCCAAAAACGTCAGAGCAAAGTGTACGGAAACCCTATCGCCTCCTTTTTCTATTCAATTCTCCTTGTACGTATATAAAAATTTTCCCTCTTATATGATATATATACATAGAGAATAGAATATATAGAGAGGAATTAAAAGAATCTCTCGGTATGAAATTTTTCAGTCCCTTTCAGCCTGAAAGGGAGTTCAAAGTGTACAAATCATGTAAATGTTTACAAATTATATGCAGAAGAGTACATTAATACAGTATGTTCCCTAGACTATCCATTTCGATTTAGAATTTTTTTAACTGTTAAATAAACTTTATAATGAATTAGGTGAATAAAAACATCATTTGATTCATAGTTATAACGGAAAATCATCGTTTGTAAAGTGAAAGGCATAGAGTTTATGTGAAATGATCATTTGTCAATTATGAAACCAGCCTATTTCATAATTTGGTTTTCTTTTAACAATAATTTTAGATTTTCAATAAAATGATATTCCAGGGCCCAACAGGTTATAAGGCATAAATATGTGAAGTACACCTGCATTATGGAAACAGTACAACAAAATGGCCGTTTTACACTTTTTCCCAGTAAATTCCTCTCTATATATTCTATTCTCTATGTATATATACGTATATGTACGTCAGGTATTGCTGGTTAAACGGCTGGACAAAATTGGCTAAAATTGTGTGAGAGAAACCAAGGGGTAATAAAGGGTTAAAAGAATTCGAAATTCAAAAGAGGATTTTTTAAAATTCGTATTCCACGGGCAACGACTGCACTTCAACTAGTAATGATAAAATTTCAGTGTGGTGAGGATGATTATTATGACACGCCTGAACCAAAAAAAGATCCCTCCAACGAGCAGGAGTCGTCTAGATCACATTCAAATCCGTTTCTTCCTTCTACCACCTTCAGACAGGAATATCAAATATTATTTTAACAATTTTTAGAAGAAGTCAAATTTCAAAATTTATGTCGTGGCAGAAAAATAATGTTTTTTTTTGTCGTAAAAAAATGCCAGCGTTCATTGATATTAAAACGATACATAAAGATTTTTTTCGCAACAAAAAAATTGAACACAAACATTTTAAACACAAATTATTGACACGCAGTCAGAATTGGTCATTTAATGTACAAAAAAAGCACAGATATATTGTGCAGATTATACAAGACCCGTTCTGAAGCTACTTTATATACATAGATTGCTTAAATTTGGTATTTCTATTCCATAATTTAATTGGTTCTAATTTCTGCTGTATTATAAATATAAAAATGTTTTCCTTTTTAAGGTTGTTTCCATCGTTAGCACTAGTATATATAGTTAATGCAATATGAAGGTTGGAATAGAATCCTAACTTGATTAATACTGCAGAGTGCTGTAACACCTGAACATCTTACTATTACAACATATCAATCGTTAGCTTATAGGAAATTGGAAGACGACTGATTTCACAGTAAAATATATATGAGTTAAACATTTATTTAAAGAAATAAACTGCAAAAAGTCTTTAATATATTAATACAGTATGTGAAAGAAGACATTCAAAACTATTCACCAACTGAGATGTTTCGTGGGACACCCTGTACTTATAAAACAACTTATTAAGTAAAATGGGTCTAGCATGTTACCTTGTCACGTGACCATCTGTAAACTCTAAAAAGTCGTTTAGTTTTGTGGTTATTGGAGTAATTAAAATCATAACTTGTGTCTGACAGTCGTCTTCCTTTTCCACAGTTTTTTGGGTACTGCTGTATGACGGATAACACATTTTTGAAAGCTATTTGGCTCTAGTTTTAAAACTGTTAAAAACTACAAACTTGCAGTATCCCATTTTTATCCAGTTTTAGAGAAACAATGTTTGCTAAAAATTAAGTAAAGAATTGTTTTGGGGGAACTCTCTAACTAAAAGAACCCTATTATAATAAGTGGGAATCAATTCAATTAGTTATATATATAAAACGCCCACGTCGTGAATAAATAAAAAATGATAATGAAATAAAAAATACAATAAAAATGATCGATACTATAGAGTAAACTGCTTTCCCCATGGAGGAAGTGTTTGTAAACAGAAACCAGTATTTGTTGTGTTTTCTAGCATATAACATATACACCTTTTTATACAGACACGTAAAATTTCTATTTTTCTTTTTCGTGAAAATAAATTTGGGAATCCTAGTGAAAGGAACTAAAAAATTGTCTGAAACTCTAATTTTCTAATCACATTATTCATTATCCTGATATAAACTTTAATATTGGCTTTTAATATTAACAGAATTCATAGTTTTAAATAATATAATATATATTTCTATTTAAATCAATATTTTGATATTTCTATTTCAATCTTGATTTTAATATTTCTATCCCAATCTATATTTTGATATTTCTATTCCAATATTTATTTTGATATTTCTATTCCAATAATGTTTTGATATTTCTATTCCAATTATATTTTGATATTTCTATTCCAATTATGTTTTGATATTTCTATTCCAATTATATTTTGATATTTCTAATACTATTATATTTTGAAATTTTTATTCTAATTATATGTTTTGATATTTCTATTCCAATTATATTTTGATATTTCTAATACTATTATATTTTGAAATTTTTATTCTAATTATATTTTGATATTTCTATTCCAATTATATTTTGATATTTCTATTCCAATTATATTTTGATATTTCTATTCCAATTATATTTTGATATTTCCATTCCAATCTTAATTTTGATATTTCTATTCCAATTATATCTTGATATTTCTATTCCAATCTTAATTTTGATATTTCTATTCCAATTATATTTTGATATTTCTATTCCAATAATATTTTGATTTTTCTATTCCAATCTATATTTTTATATTTAAATTCCAATTATATGTTGATATTTCTATTCCAATTATATTTTGATAAGTTGTGAATCAGGATTCCAGATCAAGCTTCATGTCACTTTTGTCCAGGAACAAAGGTTAGGATAAAGTTATATTTTCTTCAGAGAATATATTTCATCTCTTTCCCCCCCCTCTCTGAAAAAAATCATTTCCCCCCCCTCCCTTTAAAAACCTACCCCCATGAATGGCAGATTAATAAAAGGGTGTAAACTCGAATTTTCCAACTTTATCATTATCAAGAGCAGCGACAATCACGATGGGGGGNGGGGGGGGGGGGGGGTGGGTCACGTTAGTGTTCAAATATTTGTATTTCATGTCGTTAATAAACCGATAATTAACATTTAACAACCGTTTGTCTCATTATAATGTGTTATTGTGAACCTTTTTAATGTGCAATGAAAGATTTAGCTTTGTAGGGGCTGGGTTGAGTATAGAATATAATAAAGGGGAAACCTAAAAATATCCCAATTGTTCTTTTCTTTTTAGAAAGTTGTAAAGTTCACGTTCATTCAGTGGATACTCTTTTTTATGATAAAATATTAAAACGTAAAACACACGCTCTACCTGGATAGGCTAAACAGGATATAGTGTCCCGGTACGCCATGCTACAGTTTCATGAAAGGTTTTGTGACTGCCATCTAACGGCCACTTGTTGCCTATAATGTCCGGCCATTGCATTCAGGGGTTAAGTTTTACAACTTCTAAAGAAATACTCTTACTTTTAACATAAAACATAAAATTTGTTAATTAAGTCTATTTTTGAAGGTTTTGTATTTCGTATCCAAAGGATGTTTAAATATTCTTTAATTCGGGCGTAGCTATAGCTGTTTATTTGTCGTGTACTCCAGTTGTACACAATGGAACCTGATTTGGTAAATATCGTATATAATAGTTTGTAATTCTATTCTCTTATATATCTGGGCCCAACAGAGCACAATGTGTGAAGTACACTTGTAAACTTGTAGAACGGGGGAAAATTCACTCTATAGGATATTCTTTACTATGTGGTTAACTTAAAATTAAGAAGAGTTTTTAAAATTAATTTTTAATGTTGAGAAAATGAAATTAATTTCGATTTGTATTTTGAAGGTGGTTCTCTAGATGACCCAAGACCTAATTCGCCTGCCTTAATGAGGTAATAATTATAATTATAAGAACATGAGGTAAAGATGGAGTAATTAATGACCTATTTATTGAATAAAATGCGAAATAAAGGAACTGAGTTTTTGCTACAAAATAAAAAAAATTTAATATCTTTTCAACCCGACGTCGAAGCCCTTTTATATTCCAAACTATGCACTCTTTTAAATAAAATTGTCTAAGTTTATGATTTCAAATATTTGCACTATCAAGATGTAGGGATTAGAAAATTTTAGTTTGTGGCAAAATAATTAATGTGGAAAATAAATAATGTAAACGTTAATTAAGAATAGCGGTAGCAATCAAAGTAGAACGAAAAAATTTAACTTTTGTTGCATAAATTAAAGAAATATATTTGTACGTATACGTATGAATATTTCTTAACATATGTACACGTACAAATATAGCTTTAGATGTTTCTTCTTTTGTTTTAATTATAAAAGAAATTATGGAATGAAACAGTATTTATTGTACTTAAACTAAACATGTTTATATTCTACAATTTGTTTTATGTTACAATATTGACATTTTTATGTAAACAAGAACTGCAGGTGGTAATGTAAAAAAGTGCAAAAACAGCTTTTATGAGATTTAAAATAAATTCTAATTTAGTTTAGTAACTTTCATCAATTTTAATTCCGAGTTAAATATTTAAGCTGTATATGACGAAATTATAATATCCGAAACTAACTAACTGTGCTTTTTATTAATGCTATGTCTAAATGTGTTTGTAAGAAAATATGTCATACTCTTAATAATAATATTTTAAATATTGCACTTTTGTTCTTGTAATTAAAATATTCGTTTTGTTGCGGAGTGCAAAATATGGGTGGATATATATATATAAGAAATTTTTCTTTTTGTTTTCTTACTTTTGTATAGCTTTTAAAATATTTTTATTCATAGGGAAGACACACATTCTTTGCCTGATACCACCTTCCATAGTATAGAAGATATTCAGGTTGGCTTTTGGTTTAAAGATTTTTAATCAGTATAAAAGTCTTAAAAAAGACACTTTACAAGTGTATTATTAACGAATAAGATGTACTAAAAACGATTAAAGTGTACTATGCTTGATTAAAGTGTACAAGCGATTGTAAAGGAACACATAAGATTAAAGTGTACTATGCTTGATTAAAGTGTACTATGCTTGATTTAAGTGTACTATGCTTGATTAAAGTTTACTATGCTTGATTAAAGTTTACTATGCTTGATTAAAGTGTATTATGCTTGATTAAAGTTTACTATGCTTGATTAAAGTTTACTATGCTTGATTAAAGTGTACTATGCTTGATTTAAGTGTACTATGCTTGATTAAAGTGTACTATGCTTGATTTAAGTGTACTATGCTTGATTAAAGTGTACTATGCTTGATTAAAGTGCACTATGCTTGATTTAAGTGTACTATGCTTGATTTAAGTGTACTATGCTTGATAAAAGTGTACTATGCTTTATTAAAGTGTGCTATGCCCTTCCCCCTCCTTCTATTTACCCTGTTTGCCCCCCCCCTCCCCACTACAAAACTGTCAGTGTATACCAGTGTATACAATAAACAAAGAAAGTTCACTATTGACGAGTAAATTGTAATTGTAAAGTGTAAATGAATAAACCCTTCCCTTTTTCTGATCGGCATATTTTCCTCCCAGTGAATTCAAATTCTGCAAATAAAACTAGGCTTCTCTGTCAAAATGTTTGAACTTTAAATATTTCATGCAAAATATGAAACATTTCAGAGTCAAAGAATTTTCTGAAAAGATGCAAGAAGAAGCTTCGCACGTCATGCTATATACTTAACTTTTCTTTACTTTACTTTTGAATTCAAGATAAACTGTAAGCTCAGTGCTCTTTTCACATATTAAAATGAGCTTAAACTCTATGAGACTAAGATGCTGAATAATTTTTAAAGTTTAGCAAATTTTCATGCTTTAATTGACACATTTTCCAAACTAATAAAGTCCACTTTTTTTGGACAACATTTTTCAACTTTGACCAACCATAAACCTTCCTTGGGGCGGCAAAATTTGGGCCCAATCAGTCCAGCCGTTTTGACGTTTAATGGATTCATACAAACACTTTATTAATAGATGATAAATATTTCAGGAATATTCAAAATATCATCTTCTCATTCATCTGAGACAAGGCCAAGATCTGCCTGCAAAGGTTTGCTTAAAAGGACGAATGTCTAAAATGTATAAAAAGATTCATTCTTTCCTTGATATTTTGCTTGGAGAAGTTTTTAAAGAATATTTTCCTTTTGTGCAAAACAAGTTTAAGGAAGTTTTTAACTTTTTTTCATTTTGTCATGTTTTATGATGAATTATAATATTTCAAAATTTGGGCTTTATTGCTTTGAATCTCTCATTATAATCTATCTACACACAAATGTTCCGCATATTTTTCATAAATTCAGCAAACTGAGCTGAATTGTCCAATCCATATATCTTTGTAATCTTTTGCAAGCCTTTAAAAGGAGTTAACGGCAATGTATGGTAGTTGAACTGAGAATGCAGTATTGTGGAAACAATTTCAGGATTCATTTGAGACATAAAACACGTTTTAATGACGGTTAATTACTGAGTTAGAGCGCAAAGTCGACGTTCAAAATCATCCATTTGGGTGGTTACGTTTTAAGATTCGATTTTTTTAAACTAAAATAAAAATAACGACAAAAAATGTATAAGGGTTCTATAGTATAAACTATATAGATGTCTAGGAACATATTTCTAAATCGAAATTTTCTCAATAAATCAATGTTAGAATCAACCTTTTCTTTTTCATCATTTTATTGAATTTCTTATTCTTTATGAATTTGTTCGCAGATTTTTTTTTAATTCTTCAAATGTCATCAATAAAATTTGAAGGAAATCTACAGAAAATGTGTTTGTGAACAATGAGACATTACAGAAACCAATGACTGAAGAAGATTACTTATTAGTATTTATTTTTTATTTTCTCAACCTGTTCCTAAACAACGAATTAGTTTACTGTAGAATTTTTACTACATTTTTCGTCGTCGTTATTGAATAATTTTTCAAAAGCCGATTCTCAAAATTATCCCTCTAAAATGAATTTGCGCTCTTGCTGAACAAATATGCACCGTAAAAAACGTCTCATAGGTTTTAAATGATCCTTAAAACATTTCTCCAAATACTACATTCTCAGTTAACTACTGGCTACATTGCCGGTCACTTCATTCAATATTTCAAACTTTGACTATTTGAACTGTAAGAATTCATAGTTTGAAATATCAAAAATGATATTAGGAAACAAATAAATCAGCAAATTATAATTTTCATAAGACAAGTCTGTCGACTGTCCAGTGCTCAGAGGCAGACATAAATAGTGTCGTAAAACGAAACGCCCGAGTTTACTTTTTGGGGATTTAAAAAAAGATTATAAGTAATAGAATATATCTTGATGGGGGAATAAAGGAACCAACCGAGTTATAGCCTCACATTGCAACTCGAAATCTGTTATATCAAATGGTTTAAATTTGAAATATCAAAAGTTTACACCATCAGATGATTAGAATATTAGAGAACCTAGATCTTTTATGAATCCACATTTCTGATACCTTGTCTTAGTTTATGTAAGTTAATATTTTTATATTGTGTGTCTCTTTATATGTCTGTTTAGGACTCTTGTGGTACATCTGATCCCTATATCAAGTTTCTACTAGCATCTAAGGATAGCATTCTTTTCAAAACTATATACTGTTCTATTTATTTGCAGTTTTCAGTTGAGATTTTGCCTTAAACTTTGATTTTCTTATCACTATATCTTTTAATCCCAATGTCGTAGACCTTAGATATTTCAAACTGTATATTCTGTTAGATTAAATAATCTAAAATTGAAATATCAAATGTTTACACCATCAGTTTGCAAATATTTAGGGATTACACAATTTTAGTTCAGTTCCTTTGCAAATGGTTTTTTAAGTTCAGTACTGTAAAGAATGCTATGTATGCACATTGTGCTGTACAGCACTGTAAAGAATGCTATGTACGTTGATATGTACAGCACTGTAAAGAATGATATGTACAATGTACTGTACAACATTGTAAACAATGTTATGTACATCGTACTGTAGTCTTGCAGAACACTTTAAAAAATGCTATGTGCAGATGGTGTACAAGAGTAAAACTATTTATAAAGACCTAAATCCCTTCTGGGATGAAAACTTTTATATAACAATAGAAGATCTGAACCTGCCACTAGAACTAAAGGTATGTAAGTTAAGGGTGATCGATTCGGGACTTTTTTTTTGTAAATCAGCTTACCGATTACCAGTGATTGATTGTAAACATATTGAAATGGCTTAATGCCAAATTTTAGCCTTCTAGGACTGAACAACTTTTTACAACAGGACAAAAAACTAGATTTAAAAATGAAGTTGTTAATGGCCTATCGAACATTTTTTTTTCAAATTTTCAATATCTTTACTATCGATCTTTAGTTGGCGATGATATCCAGAAAAGTCCAAACCGATTAGCCTTTGTAAGTGCTCAAAAGTTCAAATTGTAGTTCATCCGAAGGATTTTTATTAAAAAAGTAGCTTAGCTACTTGTAGTTTGTGGAATGGGTTTTCTGTTAAAGGAAGTTAAAGGGACTGTTCTAGCCTAATTTCAAGTATAAACCGTCCATTCTTAATGGACAATGCCCGATTCACAATGCTACTCATCTGATCAATAACTTGGAAGCTATTCACGTTTTCCTAGGAATATAAATATTTAATTCTAGATCCTATATGTTTCCCTGCATTAGAAATACACAAGGTTTTTGGTAAGAAACCCAAATTGTAATTAATCAGTTTTTAAAATTCTAAACATTGCTATCAAATTTCTACTTGATTAGACAAAGCTTTTAAGGGAACTGTTGAGAATCGGGCATTGCCGCCATTTTTGCATGGAGGGTCACTTGAAATTACGTTTACAGTCCATATTCAGAATTACAGATATATATGAACAATGTCTATGATATTCCAACTCTGTGATTTTAAAAATAGTTTCTCTGTGTATTCAAATTTTGCGGTTTAAAATTTCAGAAACAGATTAACTTAACTCTATAAAAAGATATAAAGTGAAATTATATTCAGCTATTTTCCCTTAGCACAAAGCTGTACTCTTGACAAAGTAATTTAAAGGGACTGTCGGCGTAATTTCAAGTGACCATAAATACAGGGTGATTTTTAAAAGTCGTGTTTTTTTCATTTCTGCTTAATTGGATGAAATATCCGCAAAGTTAAATAAAAAATCTCCCAAATTCTTACTTACTGTCTGACATTTGATAATTCCATAAGCAGTAATAAAAAGATTACAAGTCTGCCTTAAACAAGTCAAACAGTGTAAAAAATGCGTCATTTTTCTCCATTTTATACCCAGAGCTATTTTGTGATTATTGTTTCATCAATCATAATTTAAAAATTATATTGTAAAGTCGTCTTATATAGTTTTTGTATATTAATTCCGAGTCGTTCCGGTTAGCGCTGTATTCTTTCCCGAAAAAACTTTTTTCACAAATCACCTTTTACAATTTATTTCTTGTATTTCTAATCCATTTGTGACACTCTTGAGTTTCGTTTAACAATTTTTTGAATAATTATTTACCTAGGTTTATGATTATGATTGGGGGTTGAGAGATGATTTTATAGGACAAGCATTTATATCTTTGAAGACCTTAATCCTAAACCAACCTCAGGATATTGTTGTTACCCTTCATGAAACAGGTAAATTAACCTCAGGATATTGTTGTTACCCTTCATGAAACAGGTAAATTAACCTCAGGATATTGTTGTTACCCTTCATGAAACAGGTTAATTAACCTCGAGATATTGTTGTTACCCATCATGAAACAGGTTAATTAACATCAGGATATTGTTGTTACCCTTCATGAAACAGGTTAATTAACCTCAGGATATTGTTGTTACCCTTCATGTAACAGGTTAATTAACCTCGAGATATTGTTGTTACCCATCATGAAACAGGTTAATTAACCTCAGGATATTGTTGTTACCCTCCATGAAACATGTAAATCAACCTCAGAATATTGTTGTTTCCCTTCATGAAGTAAACCTACCTCAGGATATCGTTGTTATTCTTCATGAGGTAAACCAACCTCAGGATATCCCTGTTATCCTTCATGAGGTAAACCAACCTCAGGATATCGTTGTTATTCTTCATGAGGTAAACCAACCTCAGGATATCCCTGTCATCCTTCATGAGGTAAATCAACCTCAGGAAATCCTGTTTACCCTTCATGAGGTAAACCAATCTCAGGATATTCTGTTTACTATTCATGAGGTAAACCTTCCTCAGTATACGTTGTTATTCTTAATGAGGTAAACTTACCTCAGGATATCGTTGTTATCCTTCATGAGGTTAACCTACTTCAAGTATTCCTGTTATCCTTCAGGAGGTAAATCAACCTCAGGATATTCTGTTTACTGTTCATGAGGTAAACCTTCCTCTGCATTATAACGTTGTTATTCTTAATGAGGTAAACATACCTCAGGATATCGTTGTTATCCTTTCTGAGGTTAACCTACTTCAGGATACTGTTGTTATCCTTCATGAGGTAAACCTGCCTTAGGATATCCTTTTTATCCTTCATGAAGTAAACTAACCTTACGATATCCTGTTTACCCTTCATAAAAATCAAATTAAATGTTTTTTTTGCAATACAAATCTAAATAAATATTTAAAAAAAAACATTTGAGCCACAATTAAAAAATGAGAATACTTAAAATCTAGTTAATCTTTAATATATAATATCTAAGTTAAGATGACGTTAGGTTATTGCAATAAATTGATGAAACAAACATTAAAGATAATTTGATATGACATCATATGTCAACTTTAGTTATGCTCTTGATGATGATAATTATGTCAATCTGTATTAACCTAAACATTTAAATCATTTAGCTATTTGAGTTTTTATATTTCTATAGAATGGTTGAAAGGACATTTAAAAAAGATGAATGATTTAAAACTTTCCTGTTAGATCAAAAGTTGCATAATCAATTCATGTTTGTGATCTAAAGTTGTGCACATTTTTTAAACCTATTTCCACTTCAAAGTAAATTTTGTTGATAAGTTTTAAAGAAACAACTAAGAGTTTAACGAAATCTAAAGTTTGTTTAAGAGATCAAACTCCAATACATTGAACCAAATTATCTAAAAACTTTGAATATTAAAAATAGAAAATGTAAAACATAATTAATTGGTTTATTTCTGATTGCAAAAATTCAGTTTCACTAGCCAGGCATAAATTTTACGTAATAAATTTCACTTTAATACCGTGCAGTCTGAACCTTCAAAGCTTTAAATTGTAAAATCTAGTATTTCAATCACATCTTATTTTTTATGTTTGGCTTCATTCATAAATCATTATATGAAGGATCTCTAAAACCAATTGCAAAACAGATCGTTTTGTGATAAGGAAAATTTTAAAAGAGATAAAACGGAGAAGAATTGTTGAAATTATTTTTAAATAACAGTTTTTGACAATTTAAAATTCTTTCATTTCAAACATTGCAATTTTAAAATCTAAATCAGACTTTATTCCAGGCAATATTAAGTATTTGGGACAAATCAGCCTTAATGTGAAATTAATTCCATTACTGCCTGACACCCCTCTTCCTCCCCTCCCTCTTCATCCACCATCATCAACCAGTCATCATTCTTCATTCAGTCATTCACCAGCTAGAGGTCTTGAGCTAGCAGCCAGGTAACTTAATTCATCATTCATCATTCATCATTCATCATACATCATTCATCATTCATCATTCATCATTCATCATTCATCATTCATCTTTCATCTTTCATCTTTCATCATTCATCATTCATCATACATCATTCATCATTCATCATTCATCATTCATCATTCATCATTCATCATTCATCATTCATCATTCATCATTCATCATTCATCATTCATCCAACTGTTTTTATGCCACCTCCCCCCCCACCCCTTTGTTCCTCCTTGTTATCAACCCAGTCTGCCCCCCCCCCTTGTTTACTACTTAACAAGGCAGTAAGCTACTACAGGTGTTTTTATATATTTTCACTAAGTGCAGTCCACAGCCATGACACTAGTTACATTGCAAATTAATTATTATATTATATTTACATTCACGTATTTGATTAAAAACCTTTTTCAATCTTATTTAAAGTTATTATGGAACTCATTACTCGCCTCAAATTCGAATTTCAAATCTTTTGATCTTTGCAACATAACCTTTGATATTTTAATCTTAATCTTATAAACTTAAAATCAGGCTAAGATTTAAACATTTAAAGTCGTGAAAAATTTTTATTTTGTTGAAAAAGTTATTTTAAAATGTAACTCAAGTTAGATACTACCTTATTAACAAGGGTGTCTGAAAAACAACAGTCTAAAAACAAACAACTGTTATGTACATACGGTTATTTTAATCCTAGCGGAATGTTTTATATATTCTCTTATCATCCTGACTGTAGAGTCTACCCCTAGTAATTGTTCAGTTGTTCTGTATATACTAGAAGTGAATAGTTGAGACATTTTGTTTAATCTTTAAGAGTATTGAATTACACAGTGAGAAAAAAAATGATGTCTGACGTGAATCAAAATATGATAGGAATAGAACTTTATTCATTTATTCGTAAGCGTAATTTCAAATAGAGTGGTCGGTTGTGTACATCACGATATGTTTACGTATCTAACACTGTACGATTGTATATAGAGTGATCGTATTTCTAAGGGGGATTTTATGGAATTAAACAATTTTTCGATTTTCCTTCTTTATTTAAAGAGTATGAACAATTTTCAAATTTGTAGGTTTTCAATTTATTCCCAAAAATTTATGTTAAAAATATTAAGTTTCAAGGGAATGAATGCAGTAACTTAAAACATTCTCATTTCAAACATTTTTTATTGTTTACAATCCATATTAAGCGTCTATCTAATTATCAATACTAAAATTCAAATATCTACATAAAAATCCCCTCTTAGAAATACGATCACTCTATATACAAGCATTAGATACGTAAACATATCGTGATGTATACGAACAACCTCTCTATTAATTAATTAATAGAGAGGTCGGTTGTGTACATCTGAGCTAAGCTTCTCCTCTTCGTTTTATTACTCTATGGTACCGTTACACACCTCTGCCCTTTTAATAAAAGTAAATTCAACCTATATGGAGCAAAAAGTCTGACCGCGTCAACCTTGTTGCACCGCCTAGTCCAGTTGATTGTCTGCTTTATTAACCCAATGTCCGTGCGGTACAGTACAAACTGGGACGGGGAAAGGTTGACCCGGCTCGGAAATTCAAATGTACTCCGGCTGCCCGTACTGTGGTAAAGCGGGCGTTTTTAACCCACCAACCTCTCTATATATTTTTTTGTTGATTATTTTATTTTATTTTAAATACATTACTCAAATACGGTTCCTTCTTTATGTAGAATTAGATGTCACAAATGGTCCAATTCCTATAAAAATGCTTAAAATGTTCCCATTTCAATTCGGACTTTTTTAGACTTCACCCCCCTTTCCAATTTACACTATCCACAGGGGGGGGGGTGGCACCCCCATTTTCCCTTTCCACAAGGGGAGGGGGGAAGGTGGGGTTACCATCTCTTTCAGAATTTAGAAATTGATGTAAAGAAAAGAAAGATAAATAATTAAAAAGTTTTTAACTTCAAGATTCTTGGGAGATGTATGTATTTCACAGGTGATACATATAAGTTTGGATATATATATATATATATATATATATATATTTATATATATATAGGATTGGGCATATATACATACACATAAATATATAGAATTGGGCATATATAAATATACATAAATATATAGGATTGGGCATATATACATATACATAAATATATAGGATTGGACATCGTTTTAAAAATTTACGAAAAAAAATATCGTTTTTCGTTTCATTTTTGATATTTCAAAACTGAAAAACCTTCGTTTAAAAAAAAGACACGAATGATTAAAACTAACGAACTGTTAATTTTGAACTTTTGAAAACGAAAACTAAGGGGATTTTTTTTCATTTAGTTTTCATAATTGATTAGTTTTGAAATCTTGAACACAACATTTTTATTTGATTTTGCATCATTTGTAAGTTTATTTACAAACCATTAAACAAGTTTAATTGCTGGCAATTTTTGTGCTGCCAGTGCAAATTGTAAAAATTTAAATGTCCAGAGTTCTTTTTTGGCGTGGAAAATCATTAGCCTTGAACGCAATTGATCTTAATCCAATGTGGCCGCTTTTAGGATGAATGCTTGATCTTTAGATTACAGTTATCCCTGCAGGGTATGACCACCAGGGGAAATTGAATAGGCATTAAGTTAATTCGCAGATCTGCATAAATAGGATAGAGATTGGAGATCAATGCTTGATCCTGGGATTCAAAATTCAAAAATTCTGACTTCAAATGATCTCTTACTAAACCAGATTAAACAATTTTTTTCTTCACAAACTCTGATTTTCTAATCCATATATCTTTGCAATCCGATGTTGAAGACCTCGGATATTTTAAACTATGAGTATTGTGAGATCATCTAGTTTGAAATATTAAAGGTTTACACCCTCCGGTTACAAAGATATAGGGAAAACAAAGCAGATTTTGTGATAATAACGATCAGTTTTTTGTTTTGTTTTTGATTGCATTAGTTGAAAATAATAGTAATAATAATAAAAATCAAGGATAGAGTAGCTAAAAAAAATGGAACCAATAGATGAATAATTGTGTCTTTCTATAATTATCTGTTTAGTGCTATTATGATAAAATATAACTAGTTTAATAGCCCTTTAAATATATTGATAGAAAAAATTTAATCGAATTTTTATTTTATTTTAATTTGTTGTAGGAGACTGAAGCCTGGGACCTGGTCTGCAATTGTCAATATTCTTCTAGGTGTCACAACAAATATTTTATTTTCTCAACATTATTTTCAAGATTTATTTTTATAAAATCAAAAATAAATCAAAACTCTAGTTCAGGATTTACTTCTTTGTAATATTTTTTTCTTAAGTTCATCCAAGGTCAGATTTTATTATTAGTGAGAAGTAATTAAACCAATTTTTATTTTTGAAAATTTTGAAAATGCGCGAAATTTCTTGTTTTGTTTTTGTTTTATACTGTACAAAGAGAAGATGGGCGCGAAGTGCCCTAAAAGCCTATTATGAATAAAAATATTCCAATTTTTTTTTAGTTATCCTTATCATTGGATATACTTTAATCCAATATCCTAAATATACAAAAATATACAAAAAAATAAAAAATAAAATATTTTTGTTAAGTTGAGGGTAAAGATCTTTTGGCCATGGATATAGAGGGTACAAGTGACCCCTACTGTAAATTCAGGTACCTAAAGGGAGACCATTGGAGCAGGAACAAAAATCACTTTTATTTAAATTTTCAATTAAAAAATAAGCTGACTGCTATAGTAGATTTTATGGAGCTATGCTTTACATCCAGCGCGCTATACTAACTATTTATGCAAGATGATCATTTCCTAGCTGTGAGACTGTTTAAGCTACAGTGATAACCAGAAAACCAGCAATTGTACAGTGTAACTAGACCCTTTTCACTTAAATTGCTTCGCTATGTTACTAGTAAAAATATTTGCTTTGTAACAACATCAAAACGCTTAAGTATTGCTATAATGTCGTCTTTCAATTCCATTTTTTTTCTGGTTATCACTGTAATTCAAGTATACTTTAAAATTTCCAATGAACTTGTTTGCACAGAAATTGTGCAGCGTACACAGACCTATTTTACAGTTTTTATGAGTCTCAATTGAGTCACTGTAATACATTTAAAGAAATCAAGAGAAACGGGATAAACTGATAACACAGCTAGTTACTTCAATGGAATAGAATTATGTTGTGATGAGTAATATTTGATTGGAAGAAATATTTTGAAAATATTATTTTTCAGACTTGGAAGTGATCGGTTCAAGACAAAAACTATTTATGCAAGTTTAAATCCAAAGTGAGTGAGAAATAAATTACTATTTCATTAAAAAATATTGTTCCAGGGAACCCACATTTATAGATTTTTATGCTCTATTCACAAATGTGCCATGTTTAACTTTCATTTAAATATCAGGGGGGGGGGGGAGGCCCGCCAATCCTCCTTTTCCTAAAAAGATATAGATGTTGTCAATTCTCTTTTTGTCTTCGTCATTTTTGTTGCCTACTTCCATAAATCATATTAAATAGAAATTTTAATTTAAATTACCAATTTTTAGATATTAAAACACAAATATCTTCAAAACGTTTGCCCAGACAGAGATTTTAAGGGACCTTCTATAGTTCCCTTTTAGACTCGTCCAAAACAAATATTAACTTTTAAAAATGTTTTAGGTGGAATGAGGAGTTTGATCTCTACCTCTACGATGAATCAGGAATTTACATCTTTTCAAAAATCTAAATTTAAAAAAAGTTAAAAACACTAAATTAACACTATTACGAACCCTTCGGTTTTTTCTTTTTCACTTAAAAACGGCTTACACTAGAATAGAACGCTCAAACTTCTTTAAAGGAATTGAGTTTTTGCCACAACCTCAAATTTTCTAACTTCTATATCTCTGCAACCAGTGGGTTTAACCCTTTCATATTTCAAACTTAGATTATTTGATCTGACAAAATTAATAGTTTGAAATATCTAAGGTCTACGACATTGGGTTGCCAAGATATAGGGATAAGAATATTTGAGTTTGTTGCAAAAACTCAGTTCCTTTAGCCAACTTTTTTATTGATGGAGCTATAGATCTGAAATTAAATTGTTTAAAAGCCCATGAAAAATGGTTGTAAAACTGTCAAAAGTAAAAAAAAAGCATTGCATAAGCACAATTGTTTAGGTGTTGAAAGAGTAACAAACCCAATCGTGATCAAGTTTTTCTTCAGAATTTGACTATTTTAGTGAATTTTTAATTCAATAAAAAACTAAGTAAAGTAAACCTTTGTTATATAATTTCATATTTCCTTTGAAAATAGAATTCTCGAAATATCCGGCCTTAATTCTTGGATTCCATATTTAGCTTTTCCATCCTATATATCTTTCTCAGAAAATAAAAGGAAAATCTTGTTTGGAAGCTCTACAGGCTTTCAAGCCAAATAGTGTAAACAAGTAATCCATAAATTCAAAACTGGATCTTGATTAAAAAAAGCCGGTCGTTATATAAATACGACCTACGTTCGTTAATAAAGAGTATTACGTTATTTCATTCGTTAAAAATATTTTCGTTACATTTTGAATAAACAATTTATCAATTTAGCGTTTTTTGTAACCCGTTTGCTAATTAACGGCAATTGCAACGTTCGTTAATTTTTGTTAACAGAATATAATGTTCGTTTTATTATTACTAAAACGATAGTTGGCTATTAAATGTGCTCAATCCATAACTACATATATATATATATATATATATATATATATATACATATATATACACATATATATGTGGAATATCTGGAATCTCCGATTAAATAATATTGCATGGGTTTCCTCATTAAATGCTGAACCAATTAAACTCCAAGATGAAAGATGTGGAAATGCATTTAGAATTGGAGATTACTGTTTGGGACAAGGATCAAAGATCAAAGGATGATTTTATGGGCAGGTAGATCATTAAAAGATACATGAGAATTGAGCAGGGGGATATATATGGAAACAGGTAGGGTTGCTAAGGATATATAGGGATAGAGGTAGGGTTGCTAAGGATATATAGGGATGCAGGTAGGGTTGCTAAGGATATATAAGGATGCAGGTAGGGTTGCTAAGGATATATAGGGATGCAGGTAGGGTTGCTAAGGATATATATGGATACAGGTAGGGTAGCTAAGGATATAAATGGATACAGGTAGGGTGGCTAAGGATATATAGGGATAGAGGTAGGGTTGCTAAGGATATATAGGGATGCAGGTAGGGTTGCTAAGGATATATAGGGATACAGGTAGGGTTGTTAAGGATATTTAGGGATACAGGTAGGGTTGCTAAGGATATATAGGGATGCAGGTAGGGTTGCTAAGGATATATAGGGATACAGGTAGGGTTGCTAAGGATATATAGTGATGCAGGTATGGTTGCTAAGGATATATATGGATACAGGTAGGGTTGCTTAGGATATACATGGATACAGGTAGGGTTGCTAAGGATATATAGGGATACAGGTAGGGTTGCTAAGGATATATAGGGATACAGGTAGGGTTGCTAAGGATATATAGGGATACAGGTAGGGTTGCTAAGGATATATAGGGATGCAGGTAGTATGTCTTTCAAATGAAAAATAATGAACACATGGCAACATGAAAAGTAAGAGTTTGTATAAAGAAATGTGGCGCAAAGTGGTCTAAAAGCCTAGTACATTTATTTTATATATATACAGATAGACTCATAAAAGTTTTCAGGGGTTGTCTGCGTTTATACATATGGTAGTTCAGGGGGTGTAAAGATCTGAGTTTATATAATATATAGATATATTCTGGGGTATATATATCTGAGTATATATATGTTTAGGGGGTGTATAGATCTGAGTATATATATGTTTAAGGGGTGTATAGATCTGAGTATATATATATATATTCAGGGGGTGTATAGATCTGAGTACCCTGAGTAGAGAGGATTCCCACCATCTCTGGATTCAGCTAGAGGAGGGTTCAGGACAGATATTCATTATTCTCACCATCTCCGGTACAACAGGGATATGTATATTCTACCCAGTTCAACCTTTTATCTGAGCCCTGATAGTAATTTAACTATCAACGCTACTTCTTTCATCTACTTCTTCTTGTCCTTGCCCAAAAGTATACCCTGAAAAAGTTTGTGAAGGCATTGAGTCTTTCCTACAAACTCAAATATTCCAATTCTTAAATCTATGAAACCTGACGATGCAAACCTTTAAAATTTCTAACTTGTGTTATTTGATCTAACAGAATTCAAAGTTTGTGGCAAAAATGTAACTCCTTTTCTAATTGCCTCTCAGAAAATGTATAAATGTTCTCTTTCAAAGGAATTTAAACTTTGCCACAAACTCAAATATGCCAATCTTAATATTTTTGTAACCTGATGGTGAAAACTTAGATTATTTGATCTAACAGAATTCATAGTTTGAAATATCTAAGGTCTACGACATTGGATTGCAAAGATATATATGGAAAATCAGGATTTACAGCAAAGCTTCAATTCCTTAAACGTAATTTATTTGATCTTCAAGTAAAACAAAAATATTTTCATTCATTTCAAAATAAAGATCATAAAGGTTGATTTAGTATGTAACTATAGCTTTATTAATGGTAGGTCACATTCCACTTTACGCTAACAGTTCCTTTAAGTTGAAGGAATATATAATACAGGAAGAGATAACCCAACATTTCTTAGTAATTGGGATAATACAAACAGTATCAATCTTTACAGGTAAACAACAACAACAACAATGATGTTTACAACAACAATAGCAACAACAACAGCATCCACAAAAACAAAAAAACAACAACAGAACTAATAATAACGACTTCAAAATTAAAACAACAACCAAAAATATTAACAACAGCTAACACAATAACAATAACAAAAATAACAATAATTTCAACAGCAACATTAATAGCACCAATAAAATTAACAGTAACAACAACAATAACAACCACAAAAAACAGCAATAAGGAGAACTAAACCAAAAACAAAAACATTAACAACAATATCAACAACATTAACAACAAGAAAAACAGCAATGAAAATTGTATCGAGTGTGTTCTAATTTGATTATGGTTCATCTTTTCTTTATTTTTTAGTTTTAAAAAATTTGAGTTCTTAGTCGAAATATTTAGAAAATTGTTTTAGAATTTTAGGAAAGTCAACAATAATAAGTTATTATTAATAACTTGGATTTTGTTATTTTTATCTAAATTTTTAATAACAAAAAAAATTATATTGTTTTAGAGAAAAGTATGCTTTGAAGCAATCTTTAACAAACATTGATGATGTTGGGGTTCTTATTGTAAAGGTAAAAAAATATAATAATAACAATAATATTTGAAAATATAAATTTAAATGAAAATAAATCACAATTTGTTTATATTTTCTACCATAAGAACAGAAAAAAATACAAAAAAATGTATGTATCTATATCTGTTAAAAACAATTTTTAAGATTGATGTACTGCACCCCCTACTTAAAATAATACAAAAAATGCAAAAAAAAATACAAAATGAATACAAAAAGTGCAAAAAAGACAAAAATTAAAATAAAAATATAAAAAAATCCAATACCAGGTATTTGGAGCGCGAGGGTTGCATGCAGCTGATCTGGGTGGTAGCTCTGATCCCTACTGTGTTTTAGAACTGGATAATACCAGGTTTAACTAGTTTTAAGGGGAATGTAGCGTATGTTGGCGTAATTTCAATGCAAAGCTTGCAACGCCCGTTCACAATAGTACCCTTTTCAGCGTTCTCTTATCAATTATGAATTAGATAATATTGATTTTTTATAATTTAAAAAACTAGTTTCTCTACAAAAATGATTTACGCATGTCTAAAGCAGGAAACACAAACAAAATTTATCAAAATTAAACACTTTTAAACCTATAAAAACGATGATATCTCCCTTAATATTGTTCAGATAAAGGTTTGAAGGATACCAATTCAATTCCGACTCTCACTTTAATATTTATGGGGCTAAGAAGATTTTTTTTAATTGCATAAAAAGTATAAAAATATTAGCAATTGGTATATGACACAAGTGTTTTATGTTAACTATTCAATTAATTAATTCTAGATTTTGTGTCGCATTTAACCTATTTTACAGTTGAAAATAAAATAAAAGTTTTTTTTTTAATTTTCTAGATTACCTGGTCTTAAGTTTTAATGTGATAGAATTAAAAGATATGTAAAACACAGCTAAATTCTCCCTTTTATAAGCCTTGGTATTCGTTATTTCCTTTGCAGGGTGTTGACCCATACAGAATATAAAACTTTGGAACCCTCCTGGCAGAAAGTATTTGTTCTATCTGTCCAGGTAAACTATATAAAATTTTTATAAATTACAATTACAAAATTGAGTTCTCGTTTGCAGCAGAAATTATGATAATAAGTGTGGCAGGGTGTATATAATCCCAAACAAATCATTACCCTCCCCCCCCCCGCTTGATAATACTTTTTTTTGCAGAAGTTATATATGCTTGCGCGACACGGCAAACATTTGTTATGATTATATTCGCGGAATCAGGGAAAATAAATGGTTTTTAGGAGAAAAGAAATGAATTTTGAGGTAAAAAGTATCAAAAAAATTGGAAAAAAAACTTTCCTTTTGATGTCTAATTTTTCCTATTTTCCCACTAAATCATTACCAATCATAATTCTGAAAAATATGGACCCCTAACGTGTGGCCACGTACTTCAAATTTGGAAGAAAAAAATGTTAACATTTGTTTTTATAGGATGTTCATTCTGTATTAAATATAACAGTGTTTGACGAGGATAAAAATCATAAATCAGAATTCTTGGGACGACTGGTGGTTCCTCTAATCAAGGTAAATTCAGAATAGAAAAAAATACTAAGCAATTGAGTCTTTGCTCGTATTTCTATAATATCTTTGCAACCCAATATCATATACTTAGATATTTCAAACAAAGTTTGATATACACCACCAGTTGCATGATATAGGTTTTAAAGATTTGAGTTTGTGGCAAAGACTCAACTCCTTGCTCATAAATTCTGTATTGGAATCTGAATGTCTATTCAATGAAACAACCACGGCGTTAGAAACGTTAAATTTGTATGGTAAAGAAAAACTTGCAAAAAAATATGAACTGCGTATAGTTCATATATTTGTAGCGTAAGGGTTTAAACCTGCATTATTTCAAACTTTTACTATTTAATCTTCCAGGGTTTGTAAAAAAGGAGTGTACCGTAAATTATATAAAAGGGGGAAAAATGTTTAATTTGTAAATGAAATGGAATTTTAAGGGTCTTTTTAAATGTATTCAATACGATATTCCATCTAAAAATTAAAGACAAAATTTTTAATTTTAGATTAAGAATCAGAACAAGAGATGGTTTGCTCTGAAGGTATTTTTATTTTTTTATGAACATTGTAGAAAATCAGAAAAAAAATAACAATAAAGTCAGAATTAGATTTTTTTTTAAAATATTTCTTTTCATAAAACTGATATGATATAATAACAGAAGTAAAACCTCACATTTTGGGAAGCAAGGGATTATCAAAGAACCACCCGTAAACTTTAAATCGTTAATTTTAAATGAAAGGCAAAAAAGAATCTTAAAATTCCGCAATAAAAAAGTTCCAGTATAGTTGGAAAGCAATGAAATCCAACAATAGAGTAAAGGGATACTTAAAATATGATTAACAAACAAAAATTAGATAATCACTCTAAAAAATATCTTTCTATTATAGGATAAAAAACTGCGTTGCAGAGCTAAGGGACAGTGTCCACAAATACAGATGGAATTCATTTTACATTGGAATATTATCAGGAACAAAATACTTTAAAAGCAACCTTTAGTTGGATGCTTTGCAGTTTAAAGGGACTGTAAGCAAAATTAAAGTGACCCTCAATGCAAAGATGGCTATGTCCGATTTACAACAGTGCCCTGAGACCGAATTTAAAGAATTTGAGCCGCGGTTAAAATTTAAGCCGCGGCTCAAATTTTGGTGGTTCCACTTAAATTTGTATTGAATTTTTCAAGATTTTAGTCGGCGCTCAATTGAAACCGGTTTTGGGGGGATTTGAGACGCGGCTTAAATTCATTAAATTCGGACACGGGAATCCTTAATCTGATCGAAAATACGAAAAATACCATAGTTTCTATACTGGAAAAGTGTTATTTCTGTGAGTTTCTTCATTGTTTCTCGTTAAGGAATACGCAAAGAAACCGCAAATGAAAGTAAACAGTAATATTTAAAGAAACAAGACATTAATATCTAAATCCTACTTGATCAGACAAAACTTTCAAGGGTACCGTTGTAAATCGGGCCTTGTCATATTTTGACGAAGGGTCACGTGAAATTACGCTTACAGTAATTGTTCATAAGTTTTAGCTGAGGTTTCCAATAAAGAAATTTGTTTTCCTTGATAATTAATATGAATTTAATTGGGCAATTTTTATTTTAAAAAGCCGGAAATAAGTTTTAGAAGAATTCAGAAAATTTAAAAACCAATGAAATCTTATTTAAAGCTTAAATAATAATTTTTAACGTAATTTTGTGAAACAGGGCCACATATACAACGTTAAATCCTAAGAAAACTTTATATAAGGTAACCCCAAAGTAAACAATTATTTTCATCTATAATGTGTACTTTATTCCTTTTAAAAAATTGTGAGCAAAAATTTTGAATTCTTGTGGAAAATTAATTTGATACCAGTTTAATTCAAACCCTCTAACTGCAATTCCAATGCCTAAGGTTTACAATCAAATTCAATTTAACTTTCACCAAATCTTGCTTCGAACCTTTCATCTATGAAGATAAATAAATGTGTTACACTTTAAAGTCAAATAAAAAAATCCCCCCAATTTTTTTTTTTGCATACAATGAGTCTGTGTGCCAGAGGTCAAATTTGTTAAATACGAGAATTAGATTGTCAAATTTAAAGATTTCGAAATTTTTATTTTTTGCCTAAAATACTTGATACCTGAGTCTGTGTGCCAGAGGTAAATTTGTTAAAGAGCAAGAATTTGACAAACTGTAATTTGGCTACCTTACCCTACATTTTCCTGTTAAGGTTTTGAAAATTAACAATATTCAAGCATTTTGCCTAGATTGATAAATATGATTTTTATCTAGGAAACAGTGGAGAAGTTTAAACGTCAAGTTTTTATCAACAATGTGATGAGAATTAAAGCAGTTATTCTAGGCATATTTCAGAGCAATCAAAATTATTTATTTCTTTTTGATTCATGGAACTACTTTTGTATCAATAATATTAGTATTAAAATCATTTTTTTATTCGCCTCTTTTTCTCAGTGTATTATAAATTATTAAACTAAAAAGATGTTGACGATTATAAAACAAATAGCTAAACTTTTTAGACAAATTTTTATTTCAATTGTTCATAAAGGTTTTTTATAGTCATGCAAGTTTTATAAAAATGTTTAACCTGTTTAATGGAAACAAGCCAGCTGATTTTAGATTTCTGATTTTACCATTAAAAGTTGTATTTTATTGTTCTGAAAACTGTGTAGAAATCGTCGATTTTGGAGTTTTTATTCAATCCTGTCTGGAATGGGAGTCAACATCTAGATCTATCATAGGCAAATAATATTATTCAATAATTACTTTTATTCAAGAAAATTTGTTCAAAATAAGGAACGATGATTTTATAAACTTCTTACATTTTCTGCAAAAATTACATATAAAACTGTTTTTCAATTTGGAAATATTATTTGGAATTTGACCCTTATGACTCCATTTCAAAGTTAGTTTCTTTTAAAGTTAGTTCCTTTCAAAGTTAGTTCCTTTTAAAGTTATTTCATTTAAAAGTTATTTCCGTTCAACGTTAGTTCCTTTTAAAGTTAGTTCCGTTCCAAATTATTTCCTTTCAAAGTTGGTTCCTTTTAAATTAGTTTCTTTTAAAGTTATTTTATTAAAAAGTTATTTCCATTCAAAGTTAGTTCCTTTCGAAGTTATTTCGTTTCAAAGTCAGTTCCGTTCAACGTTAGTTCCTTTTAAAGTTAGTTTCATTCAAAGTTAGTTTTTTTCTAAAGTTAATTCCGTTGAAAGATAATTCCTTCAAAATTTAGTCCGTTTCAAAGTTAGTTCATTTCACAGTTATTCTGTTTCAAAGATAGTTTTTAAAAAATTACTTGCCCCTTCCTAAACATAGTTCCTTTAAAAATTATTCAATTTCAAAGTTAGTTAATTTTAAAGTGAATTCTGTTAAAACTAGTTCCTCTCAAATATAGTCTCTTTCAAAGTAAGTTGCTTTAAAAGTTAGTTTCTTCTAAAGTTAATCCCTTTCAAAGTTATTTTTCAAATAGTCCATTTTAAAGTTATTCCTTTGTGGAGTTTAGAATTGCAAAGTGTCACATTAATTGTGTTTTTTTTTATTGTAAAAATGAATGTATTATTTTCTGCTAGCTTTCATTACATTTATGACGATAAGCTACTATTTTGAGCCCTACATGGTTCCTGTAGGCCTTCTACTCATCTTCCTCAAGCAGTACATCTTCAAAGTGTATTTAGGCATTCATCAGATTAAAAAAATTAAATATGTTTTACTTTATTTCAAGTTATGATTTTTTCAGATTTCATCGTTGGCTTGAATATGTAACATGTATGTAATATCAAACTTTATTCTTTAAGAGAATAACTTGATTGTTTAACAGATTGTATCGTTGGTTTGAATATGTAATCAAATATTATTCTTCAAGAGAACAACTTGATTGTCTAACAGATTGCATCGTTGGTTTGAATATGTAATCAAATATTATTCTTCAAGAGAACAACTTGACTGTCTAACATGAATTCTTTCTCTCTGGGATGCTGTTTTTATCCTTAAATAATTGGTTAGGACATGTGGGATAAGAATTTATTTATCTACTGTATGAACTATATTAGATCAATAAGTCTAAGTTTAAATTATCAAAGGTTTACATCACCAGGTTGCAAAAAAATGAGTGTGTGAAAAAACTCATTTCCTTTCGGCCATGTTGCTTTCTAAAGCTGTCGTGGGGGGGGGGGGGAATGATTGACGATTTTCTTCTTTATCTTTATCTTTTATTATCAAAGTTTATTTTTGCACAATTACGGTCCTCACAGAATTATTTTATTATTCTTAACAAAACATTTTCAATCTTGAATGCATTTAGATCCAAAACATTTAGAAAGAGAGGAACAATATCTTTCCGAGGTAAGTAAATATATTTTGTCCAATAGAAAATATTTTCATTTTGGGAAAATGTGACAACTCATTTCCTGTACAGAGAGAAATATTTGTCTTATTTGAAATGTTTAAGAGCAAGCTTAGTTTTCATATTAATTCAACTGATGATGATGATGATGATGATGATGATGATGATGATGATGATGATGATGATGATGATGATGATGATGATGATGATGATGATGATGATGAACTAGGATGATGATGAGATGGATGAGAAAGATGAAGACAAAGAGGAGAAAAAATCTCTAAAAGAGAAGCTTCAAGCAATTCAGGTGAAAAAATTTTAAAAATCAAATCAATTTTTTTAAAAAATTTAAATTTTTTTAAATTTTATTTTCCCAGGACGTTACTGCAATGGTTCAAAATGCACTGGGATATGTTGCTTCTCTAGGCATGTTTATTTATAACAATTAATCCTTAGCATAAATCCATAGAATCCGCATATGACGTAAGCAACCTTATAATACAACCTTGCTTGGAACGGATTTAGAAGGAATTGTCGAAATTTCAAACAGACTGTTATAAGATTCCTGCCATTTAAAAATTATAATTTTTGATGATATTTCATTAAATATTTATTTAAACAGCTGAGGGAGTTAAAAATACTTTTAACTTTTCTGTTCCTTTCTTATCTTGGCTTGCTGTCATCATATTCTCCATCATTGCAGTTGTACTCTACTTTATTCCACTCAGGTACTTGGTGTACTCTACTTTATTCCACTCAGGTACTTGGTTACTCTACTTTATTCCACTCAGGTACTTGGTTTACTCTACTTTATTCCACTCAGGTACTTGGTGTACTCTACTTTATTCCACTCAGGTACTTGGTGTACTCTACTTTATTCCACTCAGGTACTTGGTTTACTCTACTTTATTCCACCCACGTACTTGGTTTACTCTACTTTATTCCACTCAGGTACTTGGTGTACTCTACTTTATTCCACTCCAGGTACTTGGTGTACTCTACTTTATTCCACTCAGTTAATCGTGGTGTGGGGAGTAAATTAGTTCGATAAGAATTTATTTCGTCCTGATACAGTCACTATCAAAGATATGTTAGTAAATCTTATCACTAATCTATACTATTCAGGGTATTAATCATGGTGTGGGGAGTGAATAAGTTCGGTAAGAAGTTAGTTCGTCCTGATACAGTTACTAACAATGAGCTAATGGATTTCCTGTCAAGAGTACCTAGTGACGAGGATCTATTGGATGCCAGGTATGTACAGTGAGACCAAAAAAATTGTGAAAAAGAAAACAATATTCAAGCAATTTTATGTGTATTTGACGCAAAAATTGTGTGAATTGTACACTGCGCACGTTTATTTATCTAATATACGATGTACTTTAAATGACGATTTTTTGGCCTGATCGAAAGCAAAGACACCTGACGGTCAAATAATCGTTCTTTTAAGTATTAAAGTACATTGAATATATATAAAAAATATATATTTTTAAATATCAATTATTTACGAATGCATCGAATTTAAATCGACATTTTTAGGTTCTATTATCTGAATGACTAATCTAAAATCTAATTGAATTATTTACGATCGAGTGGAATAATGTTACTCTGTGAATTTATATGGACGCCACGCTCTTGTGTATTTTTTAACCATATTCTCCTTATATAAAAGCATCAGATAAATAAAAAATAGTAGCGATATAAATCAAATTCAATTTGATATCAGCCTTTACTCATATTTTTCCGCGAACACTCCCTTTAATTCTAACAATACTCTGTCTGTTCAACAGTTTACCGTATCAGAGGAAGGGGAGACCAGACTGTATTCCGAACTTCTATCATTTTTTTAATAAAAAACTGAAACCACCAAAAGCATTTCAATAAAGGAAGAATTTGTTCGAAATTTGAAACAGAATGAAAGGAAAATTAACTTTCATGCGTAATACCTAACATTTTGTTTATTATTTCTGACACCATTTTAGGAAGTTCTAAATGTTTTCGATTTTAACCCACAATTTATTCTTTAAACGGAATTTCAAGCGACACTCCACTGAAGGTCAAAATTCAAGCGACACTCCACTGAAGGTCACAATTAAAGCGACACTCCACTGAAGGTCACAATTATTGCCACTAATAGGCGAAAACAAGTTCAGATTATATTTATGGAAAATGAAAACTTTTTTCTTTTCTTGAAAATAAATCAAACTTATTCGAAATATGAGAAGTGACATTCAATGTAACTTCCATACTGCACGCAAAGTAGAAAAAAAATTATATGTGTTTATGCTTTGTTTCTATGTAATTCTAAGATTTTATCAAAATCAGATGACAGAAAACTGCAAAATTGTGAATTGCTTTGTTTTGAGGAGGCCAGTTAAAAAAAATTTACACTCATTTTTAAGATTGGGCCAACTTGGAAGTGTTGCAAAGGCTTGGGTTTTTTATTTTACCCCACTAACTCAATAATATTTTTTGTAGTCCTAGACATGAACATTTTAAATTGTAAAAACTTGTTTAGGGAGCTTCGTTTGCTGCCAGATACACAGGAGACGGGGAAAAAGTCCACCGTGAAGAAAAAACACAAACAGTCCTAAAGGGAGACTGAACCACATTTTCAATATGGTTGTGAAACAATTTTCTGATATTAATCATTGCTATAAACTTCAACATATATATCTAGTAATTTATTCATTAGTAAATATTTATATCTTTAAAACTACTTTTATCCAAGAGGAATTGTTACTTATCTTTCAAAATCATTAAATTTTATAAATACGTTATAGCAGCTGCTGCTGAAATGAGAAAATATTGTTGACAAGCTTGACCAGAATAATAAAAATATAATTTCTATTCAAATATTTAAAGATCAAACTTCATCTTGTTGCATTAAAATAAAAATATATTTCAAAGGAAATCTTCCAATAATTTTGTAAAATTGAAAAGGAAAAAACTTATTTTTTTTTGCAGTTTTTACACGGGTAAATAAGATATATGATGTAAAACCCTATACCCCCCCCCCCCTTTTAATTATTATCAACCTTATAATCACTACTTTACATATGTTGACATATCTGCATATTACTTTTCCATTAACAGCAAGAACCCTTTCATTAGACTTTCCAATCTTTTAAAATGAAACTGATCAAACTTTAAAATATAACGAGGATATCAAGGCAATCTTATGCGTATATTTTAAAATATCATTAATATATAGTTTTACTAAAAGCTTGAAAATCAACTTATTGAATAAAACGTTTTCGTGTACACTGCACAATTTAAATTCAAATCTTTTGAAAACGCGCAATGTCAAATAATTTACATTTTATTTGGATAAAGTTAAAATTTTTCTCTAGTTCATCATACATTCAGATTAAAGCTTTGCCAGTCAATTATATAAAGCCATGCATTTCAATTTGTTTTCAATTAATTTTGCCAATTTTAGTATAGTAGTGCAGTAGGAGTGATGAAAGAAATTATTATCATTTGAACAATGTCATCGGAGACCACTTTTCAGGGAAACCTTGTTTGTCGAAGCATTTTTATCAGAAACTCAACGATTAGATTAAGAAAATAATTATTTAATCTGACACTTCAGATTCACAAGTATATTTCATCCCACTTATGTATAAATACAAAGTTGAGAGGATTGACTTCTATGGGAAAAAATTTGGTTTCCGGACAAAGGAATCTCCGATGGTTGTCAATTAATGATAATTTTATTTTCGACTCTTGTATTGTAGTATCATGTTTGTCTCAGACTAACGTTAGATCAAACCTAGGTCTGAAATTTAATTTTCCAGTTGCCCTAAAAAGTTTTCAATTTTGAAAAAAAAACTTAATTGTCTTTAAATCTAAATCAATTTATTGTAATCTTTTTAGGTTTGTCTTTAAAAATTAAATTTATTTTCTTCATCTATCCAATTTGGCTGAGAAAAAGAACTTGCCAAATAGGTTGATTTTTGATTCTAGATTAAAGTCTTTCCGGCGTTTTTACATGTAATTTAGTTGTAAAGGTTAGCTTGTACATAACATGTGCGCAATTTATTATTTTATACAAGATACAATTAGGAAAAATATCTACACTGTTTTCTGTTGTAACTAATTAAAGATGGCTGTAATACATCGTTTATGGCACTTAACGTCCTTGTAAGTATATTTTTGACACTTAAATTGCTTTATTATTATTGTTAAAGTATTTTTATCCATAAATCTTAATTAACTAGCACTTAACTAATTATGTTTGCTCAAATCTATTCAATTATATTCGCACATTTCAATGTTTGTTTAAAGCATATATTGTTAAAATTGTTCGTCGAAAAATTTGTATGTTTCATTATTTTTAAAGTACAATTTATCAATACTTAGCTTTTTTAATAGATCTAAAATATTCAAATTAAAGTTATTTAATACAACAAATATAATGGTCTAATTCTTTCTGAAGGAAAAGGAGTGAATTTTGTTAGGTAATAAACTCTTATTTCTTAAGCTTGAGTGCTATGTTGCCTCTCGGGTCGTAATAATTATTTACAAAACTACTTTATAAGGGAAGATAAGGAAAATTTACTTTACCAAGGATTCCCAAGATAAAATTGGTCAAGGGAACCCGTGGAATTAAGTAAAATTTTTAATTTACCGAAAAAATAATTTTACACAATTTGTTCGTCTTTTGAGATGAAAATGCGCGAATTTTTCCCCCGAAAAACTTCACAGGACGGGTGGTTATTTTACAAAAATGTCTCAAGGGCGGTAAAATGGGTTATTAATGAAATCTGTCCACTGTGTTGAGTGGGATAGAATCAGATTAAATCATTACTTAAAGGGACTGTAAACGTAATTTCAAGTGATCCCCGAAGCAAAGAGCCGTCATGCCCAATTTTCAACGGTACCCTTTAACCCATTCTAAACAGGAATACGGAAGATATCGACGTTTTTAAATCCATTTTTAAAAAGAGAATCCATTATCAATTGTTAAATAGAAAGGAAAAAACATTTTTCATAATTTTTACTTAGGGAATTGGGATTTTAAGTGACTTGAACTTATGTCGAAAACAGTTCCTTTAAATCTTATAATTTTAATGTTGTAATTTTACTGTTTAAAAAATCATGTTCTTATCAATACTTTTATCATGTTTACATTTTACTATACATTGTGATCATCTTCTTTGCTCCAAATAAAGATTATCTCGTTATTTTGCGTCAATAGTCCAAATTTGATGAATTTGAGCCGCGTCTAAAATCCGCCAAAAACCGGTTTCAATTGAGCGCCGTCTTAAATCTTGAAATATTGAAAACAATTTTAAGTGGAACCAATCATAATTGATCCGCGTCTCAAATTTAAGCCGCGGCTCAAATTCTTCAAATTCTGCCTCAGGTATTATTTCTCAGGCCAGTGCATGTTCAACATGTTTGATTGTTCTAGATCTCTCTCTTTAAATTACACCTTTCGATATTTTTGTTTTTCATAATCTTAAATTCAAGTAATAATCTATAATTTATCTTTTATCTTCTACATTAAACAAAAGCAAAAAATGTCATGGAGATTTCGGCATTAGTGGATTTCCAAAAAAATTTTAAATCAACATTTTTTGGCAAAATTTATCAATTTCGACTGGCCATAAACCTTTTTAAATTTTTTCATTTGAATATCCACGAAAACTTTGACAGCCATATTGACGTTGTCTTATTCTGGCCATATTCTGCACTATTGATTTATATATTATATTTCAAACTCTGTATTCTGCACTTTTCATTTAAATATTCTTTCAAACTCTGTATTCTGCACTATTCAATTATATATTATATTTAAAACTCTGTATTCTGCACTATTCATTTATATATTATTTCAAACTCTGTATTCTGCACTATTCATTTAAATATTCTTTCAAACTCTGTATTCTGCACTATTCATTTATATATTCTTTCAAACTCTGTATTCTGTACTATTCATTTATATATTATTTCAAACTCTGTATTCTATCTACACTATTTATTTATATATTCTTTCAAACTCTGTATTTTGCACTATTTATTTAAATATTCTTTCAAACTCTGTATTCTGCACTATTCATTTAAATATTCTTTCAAACTCTGTATTCTGCACTATTCATTCATATATTCTTTCAAACTCTGTATTCTGCACTATTCATTTACATATTATATTTCAAACTCTGTATTCTGTGCTATTCATTTATATATTCTTTCAAACACTGTATTCTGCACTATTCAATTATATATTATATTTCAAACTCTGTATTCTGCACTATTCAATTATATATTATTTCAAACTCTGTATTCTGCAATATTCATTTATATTTTCTTTAATATGTTACCCTACTTTTTCTTTAAATTCTTCTTTACTGTTTTTAAAGTCTAAAATGTCATTTAATGAAGTTAACATTTTATTCGTCAAATAAAGATTAAACGAGAAAGCGACATCTTTATTTTTACAAAAGTTCTCGTATTTTTGACACTTTTAAAAAAAAATAAACAAGCATTTATTTTATAATATTCTATAGATAATATCCGTTGGAAAAATAGTAAGATAATCCATAAGTCCAGTAAACCAGGGAAAATATGAAAATGAACACTGGTAAACATATCTTTGCTAAACAAAAATATCATTTTTTTTTGTTTATATAAAAATCTAACTTTAAAAACTGTAAAAAGTTTAAAGCTCAAAAATTATTGTATCTTTTTAGATCGTTTTAATACTTGCGCAAAAGCATATTATAATTAAATTAATGTTCAGAAGCTTTTTTAAATGATCGGGAATCGACAAGATTAAAAAACCAAATGTGCCCACCCCTACTTCTGGTTTATATCTATTGTGCCCACCCCTAAATCCTGCTATATTTCTACTGTGCCCACCCCTTCTTCTGGATTATTTCTACTGTTCCCACCCCTTCTTCTGGTTTATTTCTACTGTGCCAACCCCTTCTTCTGTTTTATTTCTACTGTGCCCACCCCAACTTCAGGTTTATTTCTACTGTGCCCACCCAGACTTCTGGTTTATTTCTACTGTGCCCACCCCTACTTCTGTTTTATTTCAACTGTGCCCACCTTTACGCCCACCCCTACTTCTGGTTTATTTATACTGTGCGCACCCCTACTTCTATTTTTATTTCTACTGTGTCCACAGTCCACCCCTACACCCGGTTTGTTTTCTACTTGTCAACCTTTACTTACGGTTTATTTTCTGATGTGCCCACCCCTACTTCCGGTTTGTTTTTTGATGTGCCCATCCCTACTTCCGGGTTGTTTTCTGATGTGCCTACCCCTACTTTCGTTTTGTTTTCTACATTGTCCACTCTTTCTACCCCAAAATTCGAGTTGTTTTCTACCTGTTATTTCACCAAGCCTTATATGGAATTCATCATCATATAGAGAAGCATAGAACCTTTTTCGGGCATTCACCTCCACTTCCTCATTTCTTGCCATTAAACTTCTCTCGTACATTCTACTGGTCTTGAAAATAATTAGTTTTAATTTAATTTGTTTATTTTTCTTTTTTTTGGTTAAAAATTTAGTTTTAAGCAGATTTGCAGCCTTTCCTTTATTAATCCAAGCATACCTTGGGTTTTTTGTGTTCATGATTTTCAGAATGTAAAGCGGTCGGGGTTCATATCAATACAATGAAGAGGACTTTTCTAGTTTTGATTTTATCAAGCTTTTTCCACATTACAAGTAACTTTACTAGTAAACAACGAGAATTCAGAGTTTCTCTTTGTTTAAATGTTTAACCCTATTCCTGCTAGGGGGGGGGGTCAATTTGACCCCCCCTGTAGTTTTTTTTTACATAACTCAAAAAGTATTGGTCTGAGGCTGTTGAAATTTTCTGAATTTTCCTACATACCCAAAGCCCTCCCTTTAGGCCTAAAACCGGGCTTTAATACTAACTGCCTGAGTCCTCAGGCACACTGTCTTGAATTGACTGCTAAATCTTTGTTTTGACCCACTTCCACTTGTCAGATTTGGATAAAATTCAGCTTTTTGGAAAGCCTTTGACATAAGGAAACGAATTGCACAAGTTTTGCGAAAAAAAGCTGCAAATTTTTTGCAATCAACCTGTCAAAGGAAATTTGCTCATTTTTAGTTTTTCTTGATTAAAAATCAGGTTGTTTAAAATTTTGCAAATATTTTTGCATATTTGAAATGGCATGGTCAAGGGATTTATAAAAATGTAAAATTTTTCATTTTTTGGACAAATTTTTTTTTTGCAAACATTTTTACTATATAACTGGATTTTGCGATAAAAAATTGAATTTTTGCAAATTTGCAAATTTTTTTTTGCAGATTCTTAAAGTAGAGCACAAGAGCATTCTATTGATGTATCATTTGTCATATTTGGACATCAAACATGTGATTGTATAAGCTTGTAATTTGGAAAAGCTTGTTAAAGAGATCAAAACTTAAATACAAAAGTCGTCTTCAATTAATTGAAATAAACGCCGACGACCGGTGAAGATTACCATTATTGGTGATTTTGGTTTAACTCTTCGTCTTGATCCATGATGATTAACTTCCTGTTCTTTTCTTTTGCTGTCCATATATGTGTGCAGAAGAACCTGTTTAAAGAGGCTGTAGACGTAATTTCAAGTAACCCTCTATTTATACAGTGGAGTTTTCGTTGTACCCTAAGCACCCTTTCTGAACTACATTAAGGAAGTCACTTTTTTTGGAGAAGCCACTATAGAAAATAATAAGTTTTCAAGAGAAAAAGAAGGATGTAACATTCATCCATGGTCAGACAAAGGTTTGAAGAGTAACTTTGTAAATTGATGCTTGAAATTATGTCTATAGTAATTTTCAACATTTTAAGTTACCTCAAAAAATGGAATCATCTGCGCAAAAATGAGCCAAATGTCAATCATTTTTACATATGCTGTAGGAGGCAGAGAACCTTTTAAATAATTTATTTATATTATACAAAAATAAGATTCTTGATTTGTATTATTTATTCATAATTATTAGATGGAGGGAAATGGCCATCAAAACCAAATAACTAATTCATTATCATATTTTCTATTTTTTTTTATTATAATCAACTGAAACTATTTACGTTTATTTTTTATTGCAATCAAAAACAATTAAAAACATAAATGCCAAGCGCTGCGCAGCGCCCCACTTTGATAATGCTTGGCGCGGACAAAAGAAGCAACTTATCGAATCTCAACTATTATAGGTTGATATGTTTAAATCCTTACTTTGATATTTTATTCAATTTCAGCTTTTAAAAATAATGCTATTGGTAGCAATTACATTGATAAATTTTGTTGAAATCAACAAAATAACCAGCATTGTTGATTATTATTTACAAAAAATGCAATCAGATGTTTGGTATAGATTCAATGCCTCATATTTACAGTGTATCTAAAGTAATTACCAGAAAACTGTAGAAAAGGAAGACGACATTAAAAAATACTAAAGGGCATGGAGTAACTATGCAAATAGTTTATTAATAACTTATTAAACATTTATTAAGCACAGTTGTATGTTTCAGACAATTGTTGTGTTTCATAATCACAAGACTATTTATCATAACTTGAATCTAAAAGTCGACTTCCAATTCCTGAGTTTTATGATTATCACTGTAGAAGACACTTACCTGAAACACTGATGAACAATGTAGTTAGCACAAGCAGTGCTGTTAGGTTGACCGTAACCAAAGCTTCAAAGAAGAAGGGTTTGAAGAAGTTAGTTGTGTAAACAATAACGATAAGAAGAAAGGAAGGAAGGAAGGTTGTCAGGATCTCATTGATTATTCTTCTCTTTAGCAAAATACCAACAGTGATTCCATCCGTTGGAGACGCTTTAAAAAGGAAAAAATTATAATTTTTAGAAAACAGTGAGTTGCTGAGTTTTGGACGCTATAAATAAATTATGAAAAAATAAAAGATTCATGAACTGATAAGTTTTTTTATGACGAATATACTTTTGAAAACAATTATTCAATATACATAATTTGTTTGTTATTGTAAAATTTAATTTTTTTCTTTTTAAGAGACTGGTATTTTAAAAGCAATTTACTGTAGCAATCTTTCAAATCGCCTTTTTTCTTCACATATCATAAAACCAAAAATTTCGCGGACTTTTTGATCTGTTTACATTGATGGGTTGATTTCTAAAATCCCATCTGGGCAAAAATGTTCAACTTTGACCGGTCATTATATATATATATGTATATATATATATAAAAGAGCATACTTTGATTCACATAATCTAGTTTCCACGAGAGAATAATATACTGTGTTAGTACTGTATCTCCTTCCATCATTATGCTATCTGGAGTTATCATTAAAACTCTCTTTTCTAAATCTCGGACCATCATCACAACTTGACATTTCTAGAGAATTAAAGGTTTTCAATATAAAACTAAATTTATCATATTGGGACCCATACAACTCATACAACCCATTAAACATCCAGTAATGCGGTATTCAAAGACTCTAATTAGATGATTTTCAAGCTATACGTTTTAACAAACATCAAATTCACATAAGATAAAATATTTAATAAAAACTAGCTGAAGTGACCGGCGTTGACCGAGGAAAGCACATTTGATTTTTGAATTAAAAAAATTTAAAAATGAAGTCTTGGAATTTAGCATTTCGTAATTACGGACATTTGTTCGAAATTTTTAACAGAATATTACTATGAAAGGTTTGTGAGATATATTTATAATTTTGTTAGTAATTTTGAACAATTACTTATTAGATTCGAAATTCTTTCGGAAGTTATGCTTAACAAATAAAATGTTCTGATAACAGCTTGAATTTTCGATATTTTATGAGAAATGATTTTCTACACATATCTTTACAAAGTTTCTTCATTCATTTTGCTCCTTTACTCAAGATTTATTTTAGCGCACATTCCTTTTCCGATTATACAGTAGTTTACGATTATATTCATTCTATGAAGACGACTTTAGATTTTAATTCTGATTTATAATAAGCTATTAAACAGCATGGATACATAAAAACATGGAGAAAAGAAAATCTATCAATTAAAAAAGTTTCTCTTTAATTGCTTGTAAACTTGTAATTTGAAAAAAGCTTGCTAACAATTAAAACTTAATTTTAAGAGTCGTCTTTATTTTATTCATATAATCGCTTTCCACCGTGGAATAATTCAAATTTTACCTGTGTGTCAAAAGGATACATTTGAAGTTCATATTCACATTTAAATGTTTTTGTATAAACTTCTTGAAACTCAAGAATATTTTCCTTTCCTTAATATGATTAAAATATAATGATTGATGTTGAGACCTTGAACTTTGTTTTACTTGTCTTACTTCATACTATGGGAACATATATATAACCTCATTTCAGTTACTAAATCCACCGCTGCACTCTGAGGAGCGCTGCGATCAAATCAAGGTAGTCGCCATGACAGTTTTGTTACAAAAGGAGGGAAGAGATAAGCTCTGTTTTTTTCGCGCTCCCACCATCCTCCCTTTAGCAGGATCTCTTTCAGAACAGGGGAAAAGACCCTCTCTTGACTTTTGGTCCTCCACCTTACTTTACCTAGTGTCGGTGAACAGGGTTCACCGACCATGGGACATCGTCCAGGGGGAACTAGGTTTACCGGATGGCAACAACTGGCTTGACTCCAATCAGCTCAGCTCATGGCTCAACAAATACTTCACAGCCGGTCAGCAGGGTTGACCGACCTTACCTAGAATGTAGCAAAACAGGTGGGTTAACCAGGTAGACCAGTCTACCTGACAGCTAGTCCAATGAATGTCAGATGTACCGTCACAGGCTGGTCGACCCGAAGGAGCTAGTGTACAGCTCCTTCTGGGTAAGAGAGAATAATACAGATGGGGAGAGGCCGAATTCAAGTATATGTAAGGAGGAGAGAGGCGGACGGAGATGACAGCTACCTGGCATGGATCTACCTGGCCAGAAGTGATCAGATTTAAAGTAAGATAATATCCATTGACATGATTGTTTCTATTCAAGTTGTATAAGATTCTTGTCAAGTTTTAATTTAGAGTCTAATCAAGTTGTAATTGATTCTTTGTTGAATTAAATTCTATCAAAATTGTATTAAATTGCATTCAAGTTGAATTAGATTCTATAAAGTTATTTTAAATTCTATTCAAGTTGTATTACATTATTTAACAGTTGTATTAAATAATATAACAGTTGTATAAGATTATATAACAGTTATATTAGATTCTATTAAAGTTGTGATATTAGATTATATAGATTCTGTTAAAGTTGTAATTATTACATTAAAATTGTAATTATAACGTGTTTTCAACATTTTGAGATTCTGTTAAACTTAAGCGCGTTTTTGAAATTTTATGCAGCATTAGTATTCTCCAAAAAGCAAAGGAAGAAAACAAAGGATATTTTTAAATGAATATAATGACGATATGAATATAAAGTGACGTTGCCAGTTTTATTATTCAAACTTTGTTTAATGTTTGATTAAAAGTATCATACCTTGAAATATGTTGATTTCTTCCATAACATCTGATGAACTTCTTGTAAAATTACCCTCTCTAGTCACAGTTACCTCAGTTCCTTTACCTATACTAAATAGAGTTCTTTACAAATAATTTTAACTATGGTTTTAGGGAGCTTTGTGCCCAGCAGTCTTATAACAATAATTTTTACTAGCATTTTATGGAGCTTCATGCCCAGCTGTCTTATAACAATAATTTTAACTAGCGTTTTAGGGAGCTTCGTGCCCAGCTGTCTTATAACAATAATTTTAACTAGCGTTTTAGGGAGCTTCGTGCCCAGCTGTCTTATTACAATAATTTTAACTAGCGTTTTAGGGAGCTTCGAGGCCAGCTGTCCTATAACAATAATTTTAACTAGCATTTTAGGGCGCTTCGTGCCCAGCTGTCTTATTACAATAATTTTAACTAGCGTTTTAGGGAGCTTCGTGGCCAGCTGTCCTATAACAATAATTTTAACTAGCGTTTTAGGGCGCTTCGTGCCCATGGCTGTCTTATAACAATAATTTTAACTAGCGTTTTAGGGCCCTTCGTGCCCAGCTGTCATATAACAATAATTTTAACTAGCGTTTTAGGGTGCTTCATGCCCAGCAGTCTTATTACGATAATTTTAACTAGCGTTTTAGGGAGCTTCGTGGCCAGCTGTCATATAACAATAATTTTAACTAGCGTTTTAGGGCGCTTCATGCCCAGCAGTCTTATTACAATAATTTTAACTAGCGTTTTAGGGCGCTTGGTGGCCAGCTGTCGTATAACAATAATTTTAACTAAGGTTTTGGGGCGCTTCGTGCCCAGCAGTCTTATTACAATAGTTTTAACTAGCGTTTTATGGTACTTCGTGCCCAGCTGTCTTTTAACAATAATTTCAACTAGAGTTTTATGGCGTTTTGTGAATCGTGCCCAGCTGCTTTATTACAATAATTTTAACTAGCGTTTTATGGTGCTCCATGCCCAGCGGTCTTATTACTATAATTTTAACTAGCGTTTTTTGGCGCTTCGTGCCCAGCTGTCTTATAAATATAATTTCAATGGCGCTTTGTGAATCGTGCCCAGCTGTCTTATTACAATAATTTTAACTAGCGTTTTTTATGGTGCTCCATGCCCAGCTGTCTTATTACTATAATTTTAACTAGCGTTTTTTGGCGCTTCGTCCCCAGCTGTCTTATAACAATAATTTTAACTAGCGTTTCAGAGCGCTTCGTGCCCAGCTGTCCTTTTTCTATAATATGTAAAGATTTGTCCCCCCCCCCCTTCCCCTATGTTAGAAGGATAGGGTTAAGAGAACTTACACTGTAGCTTCATTACTCTCTGTATTAATGAAAACAATATGAGGAATCCAAATCTTTTGAATTTCAGATTCAGACAGAGCATTGGAGGATTTAGTAGTTTTCAGGTTGAAGTAGCTTAATCGGTAATCATACCATTTCATCATCAGTAGGAACTAGTTCACAAATATTGCTATAAAGGAACTGAGTTCTTGTCGGTTTTTAAAATCTCTATAACCCAATTAGATTAGAAATTGAAATTGTGAGACAAACTCCTTTGGGGTCAAATGTTAATTATCTTTTATTTTAACATAGATATGGAATTATTTTTTTTAAATTTGTATAATTTTCTCTTGCTAAATGCATTTAGTAAAAAAATATGTTATGATCATTATTTTCCTTAGATTGGAATTTGAAATTGTGGCAAAAACTCCTTTTAGGTCAAATGTGAATTAAACAAAGATATGTAATTCTTTTTAAAAATACATCAAGATAAAAAGAATATTATTATTATTATTATTATTGTATTCTTCTTATATAGGTTTATAGAGCATTTTTGAAAATTTTAAAAAAACAAAATTCAAAACTCGAAAAACTATGTTAAAGAAATACAGGGTTAACCATGCAATATGTGAGTAAATTGTTTTGAATGCAAAATGTTAAAGTGTTTATAGTTTTATCATTGAAAGCGCTACATTGTAGAAAACTGAATAAAAAAGTTACAACAATATTTATTCCTTTAAATCAAATTGATGATCAATCTCTTGTATCTGTAGAATATCCTTGAGTATGATGGAAACGTTTACATTTACTGGAGACTTTTCTTTGGATTTTATATCATAACTAACACATTTGGTTTCATTTAATTAGCTTCTTAATCATAAAGTTTAATCTTTACAGCTACAGGGTGTCCCAAAAAACATGGGAATTCAGTGACGAATTCGATATCGTCTTTTCAAATAATTCTTTGATTTAGTATAGTGATACCTACAGAGAAAGCTGTAATCTGTAAGAATTTCGTCTGCTATGTTCACATTTTGTTTGTTTATGTTTTGACTGCAATAGGTTGTACTTAGTAAAACAAGAAAATTGCAGTATACAAACAGAGTAAACTTGTCCGTATTCACTGTTCATCTTGCGGAGACATTATAGACACATATTTAAAGTCTTTTATCCTTTTCATAAAATAAACTCTAGCAGACATAATAATATTATGGCTTTTGAAATTAGGTGTTACAATGCTAATTCATAACAAAGACGATATCGAATTCGTCACTGAATTCCCATGTTTTTTGGGACACCCTGTAGGAGCCGTGTCCGAATTTAATGAATTTAAGCCGCGTCTTAAATCCCCCAAAAAACGGTTTCAATTGAGCACCGGCTTAAATCTTGAAAAATTTAATACAATTTAAGTGGAACCAACCATATTTGAGACCTGACTTAAATTTAAACCGCGGCTTAAATTCTGCCTCAGCTGATTGAACAAATTAAACTACTAAAGTTGATGGTTTGGGTGCAAGGGGGTATAAAAAAAGGCAAAAGAAAGTCGGTAAAATAAAAATAAATAAATATTTTGCTTTTGACAAATATTGAGATCAAAATACAAGTTTAACATATTTAAAGGGTTTTTAAGAAATTTAAGTTTTAGATCTGAAGATAAAAATAATAATAAAATATTTATGGACTAGTTTATTTTTTTACAATTGAAAAAAACCTTTCATTTACTATTTCTTAAAAGTAAAGAAATTTCAAGGTGATTGTTAAAAATGAGAGTGCTAGTTCAAAAATAGAAAAAAGGTGAACCCCCCCCCCCACACCTTGCTTAGGTTTAACATTTTACTTTTTATCCTCTTTCAATTACCTTCAAGTTGTTTTTGATAAATTTTTATATAAAGTCATTATATTTACAAATACAACGACCGGAAGTAGGTCTAAATATAAAGGTAAAGATAAATAAGGAATTCAGACAGTATGCATGAAAACTCAGGCAGTAGGTATTAAAGCCCCGCTTTGAGCCTTAAGTGAGGGGAATGTGTTAGTTTGAAAAGTCAACAAATTTAAACAGCCAATACGTTTTGAGTTACCTCCAAAAACATCAGGGTGGGGTCCCAGGGACCCCACCCCCCCGCCGCCGAAATAGGGTTTAAAGTAATCAAAGAGAGATTTCTTAATAGACAGCTTCTTTTGACTTCTATGTTTTTGTGTATCCGTCAAAATAGAAATAGAAAGTCGTCTTCATGGAATTAATATAGTTGTCTATCATTGTAGTTGTATTTAACCATCTTTTTTGGTTTTCCAAAGTATTCATTTTTTAATTCAAATAATACAAATGTAATTTAACCTTTTATTAAAAAATATTACAATCTCAAACAAAGTTAAAAATTATAATTAAATAAATTCCTGAAGGGGACAATTGTTCTTTTGTAGTTTTCCTTCTGATATATCATTCTACAGGTATTTTCATCTGATTCATCCAAACAGTTTGTAGTTTGGTCACACCTGGTTTTTTGGGAGGATATGAGAGGTTAGATTTGAAAAATGAATAATATACAGGGTGTCCCAAAAAAACATGGGAATTCAGTGACGATTTGGATATCGTATTTGTTATGAATTAGCATTGTTGTGTCTAATTTCAAACCCCATAATATTGAATTATGTCCGCTAGAGTTTATTTTATGAAAAGGGTAAAAGATTGTAAAGATGTGTCTATAATGTCTCTGCAAGATGAAGAGTGAAGACGGACAAGTTTACTCTGTTTGTATACTGCAATTTTCTTGTTTTACTAAGTACAACCGTAAGCAGTCAAAACATAAACAAACAAAATGTGAACATAGCAGACGAAACTCTTACAGATTACAGCTTTCTCAGTAGGTATCACTATTCTAAACCAAAGAATTATTTGAAAAGACGATATCGAATTCGTCACTGAAATCCCATGTTTATAGGAACACCCTGTATAATAACTTCCATTTAAAGAGACTGTAAGCGGTATTTCAAGAGATCCTCCAGATGGAAATTAATGGATTTACAAATTTACAAGGGAAAAAGCTTAGTCTGATGAAGTATATATTGATATTAATGTTTATAATTTTAAAACTGATTATTTTTCAATTGTGGTTTCTCTACAAAAGTGACTTCACTTCTACATGCTGCAGGAAAACTTAAAGGCATTTTTAAAATCTGTTAAACCTAGAACCGACAATATCTTCAACATTAAAGGGACAGACCGGCTATGTAAGGTAACAAATTCTTTAGGATTCATTTGAGATAAACTTTTCCACGATGTATAATTGCTGAGTTTGAGTGCATAGTCGACGTTCAAAATCATGAATTTGGGTGGATACGTTTGCAGAATCGTTTTTTTTTATTATTAAATAACGACGACTAAAGTTTTAGTAAAAATGCTATAGTAAACTAATTAGATGGCTAGGAAGATATTTCTCATAAGAAATTTATCAATTAATCAATGTTATTCTCAATTATTTTGTTTTCATCATTATATTGAATTTCTTATTTTCTATGAATTTATTCATAGATTTCTACAAATTCTTCAAATGTCGTATTTTCAATAATAATTCAAGAAAGTCCACAGAAAATCTTTGTGAATAATGAAAGACTATAGAATAATAAGAAAATAGAATTTGAACGAGATTACTTATTTTTGATGATAAGATTAGTCTTTATTTTCTCAACCTGTTTCTAAACAACTAGTTAGTTTACAGTAGAATTTTGTTTACAATTTTTGTCGTCGTTATTTAGTAATTCAAAAAAAACTGATTCTGAAAACGTATCCACCCCCAAAGTAGGAGTTTTGAACGTCGACTTTGCGCTCAAACTCAGGATTTACAGATCTTTAAAAAGTTTTATATGTGTCAAATGAATCCTAAAGAATTTGTCTGCAACATTGCATACCCAGTTCAACTACCTTACTAAGCCGGTCTGTCCCTTTAATGAAAAGAAAAGATTTGAATTGTACACCGTTGTGGGTCGGACATTGCCATCATTGCATGCAGGTTCGCTTAAAATTACACTGTAAGTCCCTTTAAACTGAAAATCTTAAAAATATTGAGAGTTTAAAGTCAAATTTTGTTTAACGGCTATGAGAGGTTTGAAAAAGTATGCAAAATGTTCGTAGAAATAATGTAAACAGCTCAAAGGAACTGAGTTTTTGCCACAAATTCTGATTTAATAAATCTATATCTTTGCAAACTGATGATGTAAACCTTTGATATTTTAAACTATCATAATTAAAATGCAAAGATATAGGGATAAGAAAATCAGAGTTTGTGACAAAAACTCAATTCCTTTATATTTTTCAAAGAATATTAGCATGTGATGATGTGACCTATAGTTTTTTATTCATTTTTTCATGGTTTCTTAAACATAAAAATTTTAAAAAAATGTGGCTGATTTTTGCTCATTAAAGACAAGTTTCTTAAAAGTCCCGAGTGGAAAGTTCTAAAATTAAGAGAGGTGCCAGTACGTCTTTTAATAGTTATTTAAGACACAAATGTAAACAGGTCCGGCAAAAATAAAAAGAGCCCCCCCCCCCCCCGTATTTATGCCTTTTAAGGATAATTTAGAATATAACGTGTAAAGCTGCAATAGCCAGGATTGGTAAATGAATCCCACACAATCGTCTCTGAAGTCTCGTTCTTTGTGAATAACCATGTATTATAAATTATCAGAGGCTGTTCCTTATCAACCCTACAATGGTCGATCAGATGTTGTCTTCTACTGTTTGCGTTCTAATTATCTATTTATAAGATAAGAATTTAGGTGTTTGGTACTTTCCCAAAGACATTTTCCAAAGGGTTTCTTCCCAAGTGACAAATTCCCAAGTGGCAAGTTCCCAAAGGTTAGGTTAGGCTGCAATGGGGGGCCGTGCACTGCGGCTAGGATGGTCTAGACTCTAGGGGGCCGAGCGCCGCGGCTAGAAAAGGCTGGGGGCCGAGCGCTGCGGCTGGGATAGACTTGGGAAATTGCCACTTGGGAAATTGCACATTTTGGAAGTTGCCACTTGGGAAATTGCACATTTTGGAAGTTGCCACTTGGGAAAAATCCTTTGGGAAAGTACTATAGCATCAGAATTTAGTGTTAGACATCTAGCGGCCAAACTATCGACCCCTAAAGTTCGTCATTGCACATAGAGAAGGGTTTTGTTTATACTTTAGTTGAAAGGAACGGCCTCAGGAACACCTTTCATCCATGTCGATACATTGACCATCGTCACATGTAAACTGGTTTTGCGAACACGTGGTAAACTTGATGTTTCTCAGGGTAGATTCATCAACATGCTTACACGGGTCAGAGCTAACTCCACTAAATACATATTTAAAGGGACTGTTTACTAGAAGTTAAAGAAGGTCTGGAAAAATTTGGAATCGAGAATTTTTAGAACTTTTTTTTTATAACCTGAGTCATCTTTGCAAAATTATCTAAAGCACTTACTTAAGGATGTTATATACAATACATAGGATTTAAAATTTAGACTAAATTGACAACATTTTAAATTCAAATAGATATAAAGAATTCATTGTTTATAAAAATTGGTACAAGTAGATGTAAATATATTTCTAAATTAATGAAAATAATGGTTTATACCAACCTAAAATCAAACTTGTTAATACCAAGTAGAAGTGAGTCCTCGTTTGAAGTTGAAAAAGCAAGACTCGAATTATCCTTTCTATCATACCACAGCCATTTCAAGGTTTCCTGTATAGGGACACTAGACTTACAGGCTGGGAGGGGGTAGTTTGACGCCCCCCCCCCCCTCTAGTTGTTTTATCCTAGCGCTCTTATTTTTGACACTATCACCATAAAAATGTGTGACTTTTAATGAATAGAAGTTTAAAGGATTTTTTGTAATATTTTTAATTTAAATGCATATGGGGTAGGGTAACGGGTGGTAAAAAGTCCAGTCTGAGTAAAAACAAATATAAAATAGCCAATAACTTTTTTGTGACTAAAGATACAGATCTAAAAACTTTATTTTTAAAAACATTTGTCAACCTTTTATATTAGTTTTTAAAAAAGTTATATTTTTACCCTTATTTCTTTTTTCAATGAGCTGGCTTTGAAAAATTGGGCTATACATGCATTTCAAAACTATATCTATTCTCTAAGGCCTTTTTCTAGGGGGGGGGGGCGTGGGACGCCCTACCCCAGGCTAAACTTAAATTCAGACCCCCCCCCCATCTTTTATAGGGTTAAACCTTTGTCTGATTTAGTGTCAGAAAACTCGATTATAAAGATGTAACGGTAGGCGGTACTACTGAAGGATAGGAGTTAGGTATAGAAATGTAACGGTAGGCGGTACTACTGAAGGATAGGAGTTAGGTATAACGCCAGAAGATTCTCAAAGGAATTGTAAATTGTAAAAATACCGCTCTGCAAATGGAGACTTTCTTTTAAAACTTTAAATGGTCCCTTTAAATGGACAAAGTCTATAGGTCATTCAAACCGAATCTTCTTACCTTATTATAGATGACAATTGAAGATGTAATCCCCATGTATAGAATAGATCCATCCATATTAATATTGTATAGATATTCATCATCAAATATAGATTCGCGGCATAGTCCTCGTACAAACAGTTTTCTAACAAAATCAGAGTATATCAAGTCTGGGAAGAAATCATCATCAATGTAGTATTATTGGAGACCCCCAATGGACGTTTCGAGTGGGAGACCCCCCAAAGTCTCGTTGGAAACCCCCATATTTTCATTGGAGACCCAATATTTTCGATGAAGACCCAATACTTTAGTTGGAGACCCTTAGATTATGGTTGGTGACCCCCATATTTTCATTGGAGACCCCATATTTTCGTCGGGCACCCTCATATACTTGTTGGAGTCCTCGATATTCTTGTTGGAGAGCCCATATTTTTGTTGGAAACCCCCAAATTTTCAAACTTAATCCAACATATTTTCGAGCCTGGGAAGAAATCATCATCATTGGGGAACCATAATATGGGGGTCTCCAACGAAAATATGGGGGTCTCCAACGAAAATATGGGGGTCTACAACGAAAATATGGGGGTCTCCAACGAAAATATGAGTCTCCAACAAGAATCTGGGGGTCTCCAACAAAAATGCGTAAAGTTTATTGTAAAGTAATTTAAAACAGTAAGAACAAAGCTGAAAACTCTAGAATTGGAAACCCTTAATCCCGATCGCGTAATCTGAATATCCACTGTGGAAAGTTTAGATTTTCTTGATAATTCTGTCAATTTGGACAAATAGTAAGACAAATAGTAAATTGTTCTATCATAAGTTGCGTGCAAAATTTCCCGGCTTCTGATTGGTTGTATGATTTCTACAAACTACACTCTGATTGGTTGAATTTCAGACACTTTCCAAGATATCAAATGACGACTAAGCTAGTCTGCAGATTAGTAAAAAGAGGATACAAAGCATTGGCTTGTAAGATATAAGATATAAAGATTAGGAAATCAGTGATTTCGGAAAAGACTTCTTTCTTTTGATATAAACAACTTGGGAGGGATCAAAGAGCTTTGTAATAAAAGAGAAGGCATTGGGAAACCAGACGCCTCAATTGGGTTCAATAAGAAGCCATAGAATGTCGTCGTTTCTATAATTTAAAAAGATTTTAGGACTTCTTAAGCATTTCCATCACCAAAAACTTGCGTCTTTACGTAATTTTCCGTTAGAAATGCATAACTTTTAGATACACTTTATCTTAAAATAGATTGCAATATAAATGGTTAAAATAAATTTAGCTACTTAAAACCAAGTTTTTTTGGGCCTTGCTCACGTTACTGGCCTAAATTCCTAATGGCCTATCTTCTACTATTCTACCGTCTTTAAGAAAGATGAAATTGGCTTTAGAAAACTTGTCCAATAGCATTAGTTCCCGGCTTCTGATTAATTCTATACCTTACAGGGGAATCTACTATACATGCATTGCACAAGGCATATCTAGTACATTCTGTATCTCCCACAGTTGCGTCGATGATTTTAGAATAACTGGAGTTGGTTGGAATATAACTACCATATAGTTCTAAACAGTTATATTCTGTAGACCCTAGATATGGTCTACCAGATCTCCAGTTTAAGTAGGATATCTAAAATATTAGGATTAGGAAAGACAGAAATAATTAAGGAAAGCAATTAAAAGTGACTGTATTTTCTTGTTTGAAACACAAATTTCTAAACTTTTGTATTTTATTTACCCCTTCAACAAATTCAACTTAATTAAACTTGCCTTTTCACTAACTTTATAAGAATTTTAACTACCAAAAATTTTAACCACCTGATTTTTTGGAAATCTTAAAAAGGAATGATCTAAATTAAGTTAATCTCTTTTCGTTTATTTTAGAGTATAGGGCTGGCTCTAAGCTTGTAACTAATGAATATTTACTTGTTTCTTGTTGTGAAAATGTCTCCAAACTCCTTCTGTTTCCTCGTCATTTGTACCAAACCAAACCCTTGTTATCACATAGTAGATAAATTAACAGAATTGCTATTTCCGCCTTTCTGCAATTCGTCTATTTATTATTAGACTGTTATTTACTCGATTCGTTTATAAATGTAACAGAACAACAACTTTGTTCATATATTGTATTGTTTGTTCACAAAATTTTGTTGAAAAAAATCATATTCAATGCTGATTATAGTTTCCGGTAAGGTTGTTACTATATGAATTCAAAAAAAGTATTTAAAAATTTTAAAAACGGGCATTTTCCGATTAAAAAATATACTATTTTGTCAATTAATTCAATTTCACCTGAAAAGATAATTATTTTCTTCTTTACTTGAACAGATAGAGTTTTCAAATCTTGAGGAGGAAAAATATTTTACAATATCTTCAAATTCTTCTTTATTGTCATATGTAAGCTGCCTTCCAGATAATTTACTACATCAAGAAATATTATTTAAAGGGACTGTACGTGTTATTTCAAGTTAACCTCCATGCAAACATGCCAATGCACGGTTCACAACAGTACCCCTGGATAAATAACGTAGTTTTCCTGATTCGAAAAGAGATTAATTGTGATAATTCCTCCAGTCTTTCGTTTAAGCAACAAATTCGCAAATTGCTTTTGCAAAGAAGCCGCAAAATTAAAATAAACGATTCTAAAAATAAGAAAATACTTAATCAGATAAAGGTTTAAAGGATACCGTTTTTAATCAGGTATTGCCATCTATGCACGGAGGGTCACTTAAAATTACACTTACAGTCCCTTAAATTACACTTACAGTCCCTTAAATTACACTTACAGTCCCTTAAATTACACTTACAGTCCCTTAAATTACACTTACAGTCCCTTAAATTACACTTACAGTCCCTTAAATTACACTTACAGTCCCTTAAATTACACTTACAGTCCCTTAAATTACACTTACAGTCCCTTAAATTACACTTACAGTCCCTTAAATAACACTTACAGTCCCTTAAATTACACTTACAGTCCCTTAAATTACACTTACAGTCCCTTAAATTACACTTACAGTCCCTTAAATTACACTTACAGTCCCTTAAAATTACACTTACAGTCCCTTAAAATTACACTTACAGTCCCTTAAAATTACACTTACAGTCCCTTAAATTACACTTACAGTCCCTTAAATTACACTTACAGTCCCTTAAAGTTACACTTACAGTCCCTTAAAATTGTGACTTTTCAAAGGATGATGAAATTAAAGCTTTTCAATGCTTACTTTATTAAGAGTTTATAACAACATAATTTTGGTTTTCTCAATGTCCAATCATTTTTCTTGAAATTTTATAGCGCTTTTTACAGCGCATTTCCCCGCAATTGCCCTTCAATGAGTTGTATAAAATCGCGGAAATGTATTAGCGTTTTGTTGTGTTCACTTTAAGGAAAAGGATGGCAACAAAAGTTATGCAACGATCATTGCATTAGAGCCCTAAAAATATTCACTTAAAAATTAGTAAATTGCTTCTGAAAATTATCAAAATACGATTTTAAAATGAAAATAGTTGATTTTAAACCTGCAAGTGTGAGCACCCCAGGGTTGGTTTAATACCTGCAAGTGTGAGCACTCCAGGGTTGGTTTACACGTTTTATGGGAATTAAATGAATGCTAAAATTTGATGATTTACAAATATCAGATTTCAAATCCAAAATCTAAAAAAAGATCAGAGTTACATTTTTAATTCTTTTAAAAAGAAATGTTTCACCTCCTTCGTAGAAATTTTCTTTGCTCCAATTAATTCCCATTTTGAGTTTTTCCAGCTTATAATGTCACCCTCGGTTGATATCTCACAACCTGGGGGGTCATTTCAGAAGAAAAAAATTATTATGAAATATTGTTATTTTCAACTAAAATATAGGATTCTTTGTTACAGGTTTACCCACAAAAGATGAGATTTCAGTGATGACCGTACGGAATGTAATCATTCTTTTTTAATTACTTTCATGGTTTCATGTGGAGATAACCCTGTAAACTTGTTTCTTTTATTTCTTTCGGTGGATCATCAATTAAAATACAAACAAAGGAATTAAGTCTGCCACAAATTCAAGTACTCTATCCCTACATCTTTCCAACTTGATGATGATATCATTGATATTTCAAACTTAGATAATTTGATCTAACAGAATTTCTGACCTGAAATATCCAAGGTCTGCAACATTGAGTTGCAAAGATATAGGGTAAAAGAAAGTAAGAGTTTGTGATAAAGACACGATTCTTTAGCCTTTATTAGATCAACTTTCAGGAGTTTAAATCTCATTCTTTTTGAATAACCTTGTATGAATCGGATTGAATGTCGTCTTCCCTCTTCCATTAAATTTGAAATATACTGTTTTGAAATTTATAGATTTGCTCTAAAAATGTTCGATCAACATTTGCATTGCATGAATTGCATCTGTAATAAAACGAAAAAAAAAACAAAGTTAAAACTCATTTTGCTTTAGCATTGACGAATATTTTGTTTTAAATAGGATATTTTAGTTCTACAAAAATAACAAATTCTATCCAAAAACAAAATATAAGAACTGCCTGTTATTTTCATTAACTCCGCTTCTGACAATATTCTGCTGAAAACTTGCATATCAGTCACCTTGAACAGTAGCAAAATTAGATTTCATAATTTCTAAATTATTTAACTTGTAATTATCTTATTTCCAACACTGTAAACTAGACAAGCTAGACATCACTGGTCCGAGTTTGTTATCTCGTAGCTCTTCTAGTTTTCACAAGAATGAGAAAAGTAAAGTTTATTCTAAATATTTTTGTTCTTCTCAATATCTCTTCAAAAAGAGGACTTATGATTGAAACCTTCAAGATTTCAATCATACGTGTAATTTACGTTAGTTTGACGTACCAGTTCATTGTACACCTTTGTCAAACGTACATTCTGAAAAAGTACATTTAGGAAAGAAGTCTGGGGTTCAAAACCAAAACTTAAAATAAAAAATTAAATATGTTCACCAAACATTTGGCTTTTTTGTCTATCATATATGTAGATGGGGGGAGGGGGTTTTTCACCTCCCCCCCTTTGATTTTGCCCTTAGACCTCAATCTTTAATGGTATGTTCGGGTGCAAGGGAGGAGTTTAAAAAGTTTAAAAAGTACATCGGAAAAATGTTCAAAAATAAATATTTTTACTTTTGACAAACATTAACATGTGATACATCTTATTACTTATTACATCCATTTTTTAAGGGCTTTTCAAATATATATATTTCAGCCCTGTAGCTTAATTAATAAAAATGCCATTTATGATTTTTTTTAAACATCGACCCGCCGTTTGACTGTACTCCATCCACCCTTATGCATAAAAAAATGTTTAACAAAATTTGTTCACAACTTGAAGTTGAAAAAGTGAAGAAGTTCTAATGTCAACCGGTTTTAAGTTAATTAGAAAACACTTCAGGAGGGTGACCCCCCCCCCCCCATTGTGAAAAGGTTAATGCGGAAATACCGGTTTTACAACTTTTCGACACCAGTATTATTTGGGAAAGAATGGATGTCTTATTTTATTTACCAAAGACCAGAGTTATGTAATATCTACTTGGAATAGTTCAGTCTAAAAGTCTGATTTTTTAAAATTCGTTTATCTTTGCATCTTTATATCGTACACCGTTGATGACTATCCATTTTATTAAATCAGTGCTGAAAACTTTAGAATGATGGATATCAAGATTAATGCTTAAACTCAGGGTTTTACTAAACCCGAGATTACTTTAATACGCATTCGATATCCAAGAAAGAAGTATAAAATTCAACCAATCAGCGCATCATGTTAAGATTAAGATTAAGATTAACTTTTGAATATCCGGTTTTTATTCTGGTGTTGATTGTGTCATATCAATTGAATTAAACATCGATTAAATAAATGTAAGTTTTAGAGTAAGGTTTCTTTAGACTCGTTTAAAATGATGATAGTCCTAAAATGTGATTTAAGTTTGTTGCAAGACCTGGTTTACAGGTAAATACCTTTCCATAAGTTGACATAAACTGTTCCTCTTGGTTCCTCCAGGAACAGCTAGGAGAGGCAATTGTGAAGTTTCTGGAACCAAATTTAATAAATTGCGAGGCACTTCTCTTCATCTTAACCCGATTCACCAAAAAAGTTGATTTAATTAATCTACCAGGGACCGACTTTAATGAATTTGAGGGGTCACTGAACTGTCGACCACTGGTTCAAATTTGAATCACCGATTCAAATCCTTCCTGAAACTTTCCCTTTGAATCGGTGGTTCAGATTTGAATCGACGTAGCTCAAACTCATTTAATTCCATGCCCGGTTCAACTATGTCTCGCTATTCAATAAATCTTGTTCCTGCTCATATTCTTGCCAAACACTACCAACCGATCCCACGTACCATCGAAAGATTTGACACCATTTTCATAAAGCTGAAATATTGGGATTTAGATTTTCATAAAGTATTTTAGAAACTTAAAATGGCAGAAAAAGTCAAGTCGATTTTATAAAAATGCATGATTCTGTGAATTTTATATAGTTCTCAGAATATTATCTGGTTCTGTGTGAATATCATTTGATTCTGTAATAGAACATGCATGGTTATGTTGTTATGATATGATTCTATGAACATGATTTGTAAAAATGATTCTAAAAAGAGCTATGAAGATCCAACCTGAATATTTCCTGTTTGCATATTTAAAGTAACGCAAGTATGTTGCCAGGTTTGTAGTTCAGGAACTATGGTTCCTAATCCAATCCAATCCCAGCTGGGTGAATCCCTAGTTTACAGTGATATTTAGTTCCTAATACAATCCAATCCCATCTTAATGAATCCCTAGTTTACAGTGATATTTAGTTCCTAATACAATCCAATCCCATCTGGATGAATCTCTAGTTTATAGTGATATTTAGTTCCTAATCCAATCCAATCCCAGCTGGATGAATCCCTAGTTTATAGTGATATTAAGTTTCTAATCCAATCTAATCCCAGCTGGATGAATCCCTAGTTTATAGTGATATTTAGTTCCTAATCCAATCCAATCCCGGCTGGATGAATCCCTAGTTTATAGTGATATTAAGTTCCTAATCCAATCTAATCCCACTGGATGAATCCCTAGTTTATAGTGATATTTAGTTCATAATCCAATCTAATCCCAGCTGGATGAATCCCTAGTTTATAGTGATATTTAGTTCCTAATACAATTCAATCCCAGCTTGATGAATCCCTAGTTTATAGTGAAATTTTGTTCCTAATCTAATCCAATCCCAGGAGAATGAATCCCTTTTTTTAACAATATATTATTTTGGATTTTTTAATTTTATTTATTGGATACAGTTGATACAGAAAAATTCTGATTTGCTTCATCTTCTTGTCATCGTTTCTATCTTCTTCCTTTTTTTCTTATCTTTCTGTTAACTGTCCCTGATTCTGATACACAAAATGTGGACCTGATGGGTTCAGCCGTTTTAAAGTTTATACAAAAAAAATCAGACACTCAAAGTATATATATAGATATAGATTACCTAAATTTTAAGGCAATCCAGTGACCTGTTTTCCATACACCGTACAATAATCCCTCCTAAAAATATCAGTATTGTTGAATTCATAAACAACCATTTTTAATCTACCAAACCTAGCCCTATTCAGGCTGACGTCTCTTTTACCCAAAATAGTCTGGAAAGGGGTCCCAGGTCCCAGTTACATGAGGGTGGCTTTTTGTAGCATTATATTGAGAGAGGGTGGATTTTTGTAGAAGCATTATATTGAGAGGGTGGATTTTGTAGCAGCATTATATTGAGAGAGGTGGATTTTTGTATCGTTATATTGAGGGAGGGTGGATTTTTGTAGCATTATATTGAGAGGGTGGATTTTTTTAGCAGCATTATGTTGTAAACCCCGAGTTTGATTCGGTCTACAGCAGAATTTTAAACACAATAATTAACTTTCTTAGTTCATATTTATTAATTCAATAATTGTAATAATTGTATATTTATATTTAGGAGATTAGTATTCAGCATTCGGATCCACCTCGGTCTCAAACAACAGCAGGAGCTCCGCCCTTCTCAGCATCAGCAAGGACATGTGGGCCAACAGTTCCACCTCCATCCTCAGATAGCGTTCCTCCCTAGATATCCTCCTATGCCCCTGAGATGCATCTACAATTAATTGATGTAGACTCTGCCAGGCAACATCTATCTGACCCTCGACCCTTCTCCAGTTACTGATAACTACATCTATCCGGCCTCTGTCTGGTTGGAGTCCCAGTCTCACCCACAGGAGGTCGTCCTTGTCTGCATCCTCAGGCTTATCCTCCGGGTCGGGGGGATCCCCCGTCTGGGGGTTACCTCCTCCTGGCCCTCTCCTACCCAGTTCATTCCCTCCTTCATCTACAGGTCTCTCAGACACATCAACAGCAGGCAGGACCCAAACTACAGCCCCATGGTCCTCATGGTCACCACTTCCTGGGGGTAGGGTGGTCGTAATCTCCATTATAGCTTTTAGTAACCCTTTGCGGTATTGTTAGTTACTTAGCTATTAATATACTTATAATCAATCAAGAGTTATTTATCTCTGTATATAACTTTACTAAGCTATTGGTCTTGCTTAGCGTTATAGAGCTACCTTATTTAGCTTTGCGGAGCTATTAACTTTGCGGAGCTATTAGCTTTGAGGAACTATTAATGTTGCGGAGCTATTAGCTTTGCGGAGCTATGTATTGGGTTTAGCTCTGCAGAATTATATATCTTTGCCGGTCTATGTTCTATGTTAAGATAGATATCTATAATTAGCTATTCAGAGTTGAATATATTTATCAGGCTATGTTACGTAAATAGTCTGAGTTTATGAATCGGTAAGAGTTAGGGAGCTGCACTTGACCTAAGGTAGAAGATTATATTAATATTATAATTCTTTCAGTATTCAGCTGACCTTGGTACCGAACACAACCGTATGTGATTGCTGCAGTACACTAGAGCTAAAACAAGATGGCAGGGGTGAATACTTTCCTTGCCATCCTAAGATTATACAATCAGTGTAGATCAGCAGGGATCTGGGCTAGGATGACTCTGGAGACTGAGAATGGGAAGGAAACAATAACCTTCTCATCAGTCACCAGACCCCAGGGTTCCACCTTCTCCTCCGTACCTAGACCTCAGGTTCCACGGGAAGGAAAACAAAAGAAGCCTTCCGAAATTAGGAAGGACAGGGAAAGAAAAGAGGCCTGGCTGTTGAAAAAAGCTGTGGCTGCAGGAAAACCAGCTGAAACGGAGATCGAATGTATCAATCCCTGAACATGCAGGGTATGGAAATTCAGCTGATCAGCAGCCGGATGAACCTGAAACAGAAACAGGTTTTGTCAATACCCCCTGCAGTACATACAGAGCGTCCCATATCATATTAGATTATCTCCGATCTTTAACACCTAAATACGCACATTATACTCAATAAATCTAGCATTTTCTGCAAAATAAAATTTCTATTAGCCTTATTAAATTTTTCAAAATGATTCATTCTTCTTAAATTTTCTGATTTGTCCCCCAAATCGCAATTTAGACCCGTTCTCGGTCTAATATGATGTGGGACACCCTGTATATACAACCTGTAAACCTGGCTCAACAAAAACAACAATCAGGGTTAAATATAAAGAATAAAGCTGATACTCAAGGTTCTGTTGATACTCATCCACCTGAATCCCAACTGAGCGAGAAAATGGACTTTGAAATGGACACGGACATTATTCCCGGAGAGATGGACAAACATCAATTGTGTCATAAATGTAATGGAGATAAACCTTGGTCCCCTGTGTTTAGATCGGAAAAACCTTGTGATACAGGACATTGTGTTTGGAAACAGACAGAAGGACCCGAGCATATACCTCATACACAGTGGATGAAAACTGAACATTTTAAAGATTGCTCGATCAATCCGCATCACAAGTTGAACACACACCTAGTAAATGTATCCACTTGCATTAAATGTGAACAAGTTTTTCCAATAAATTGCGACCCTATTCATTGTCCACAAGCAAAATCAAAATATCCTTGTAATTATATTTCATTCAAAAATAACGCTATGTAATCTTCATATTCAAACTCATACTTTTTATAACTTTATGTTTTGTGTTAATAAAAATATTTAGATCTTAAAAAAGATATGGCACTACATTAGTTAAACTATGTCGTCTTGATGCTAATTAGCCGACGTAAATATAGAAAACGATATATTTAAGATACATACTGGCGAGGAACATTGATGGTTCCTTCCTGCATGTTCCTTTCTCTCTGTGGTTAATAATCTACACGGCCGACGTGACGATAGCAGGCACCAAAATCAAGAAGTGTTAAATGTGAAAAAGCTTATTGGAGAAGCGTTTAGTTTCAATTGGAAAAAAAGACACATTATGCTTAAGAACTAGACTCACGTAGAACATTGGTTCTGTGCTACTGTCTAGGGCATTGAAAAGAGATTAGTGCTTAACCTCTTCATTTTTCTCAATTCATCAAGGTATAGCAAGGAATGGTGCACGTTTATATTGTGCTTATATTCTTGAGACATCATGGTTTCTCGGCGGTGAGGTTTGACGGTTCAGGAGGCGTCACAGTTTACCCAGACGTTATTATGTGCTGAGTGATGAAGCTGTAGGATCCGCCAGGTTCTCTGAGGTTCTCCGCTCATTCGTCCTCCAGGTTTCAGTTTAACGTTATTTTCCGCTGAGAGGTGCAGCTATGGGATCCGCCAGATCCTCTGAGTTTCGCCGCTCATTCATCCTCCAGGTATCAGTTTAACTAGGTATAGAAAAAAAAACTATGAAGAAAGGAAGAGAGAATTCTTCTATTTCCCTTTGATATCAAGGCCCTTGGGATTTAAAATATAATATGCTGATAAAGTTTTAATTCCGGAATTTTGAAAATCATTGGAGTTCCAGACTTAAGTTGAAACGTTTAATTGAGTAAGATCTTCAATTTCAGACTGATTTAATATCCTGGAAGTTTAATATTCGGGCTATCAAATTAAAGATAAAAGAAATAAAGATAAAGAAGTCTTTAAACTTATATAGCTGGCATTGTATACTTTAAGTTGTATTTTTATTAGAATTATATTAAATGCATGTACGTTAGTTTTGGTTCAATCGGTTTTCAACCTTTACAATCCCAAATGATCCGTGTGCACGTCCCTGCTCTCTGTATAAAAAATAATTGATGGTGAAAAGAATTCTGCCAATCTTCTCGGGAACTTATGGGAAAATATTTTTTACCGTTATTCTCCGCTGAGAGGTGTAATTATGGGATCTGTCGGATCGTCTGAGGTTTGCTGCTCGTTCATCTTCCAGGTCTCAGTTTAACTAGGTAAGGAGAGACCCATGAAGAAAGGAAAAAAGGAAATATTTCATTTCCCTTTCAAATCAAGGCAGTCCAGGTTATAAATTCATTACTTTTTGCGATTTAGGCCATATAAAAAGGCACTCAAACGAAGTATCTAAATTGCATATACTTAATATTACATAACTTCAAGTTTTACTTTCAGAGAGGCGTGATATTTAAATTGCATATACTTGATGTTGCATAATTTCAAGTCTTAATTTCAGAGACGTGATATTCCAGATTAAACTTTTAAAAGTCAGAGATTAATTAAATTAGATTTTGGTAGTGAAAGAATTTTTTAAAATTTTTTTAATTTGAATTTTGAATTTCAGTCATGGGGTAAGGATTCTTGGAATATTAAATAGACATTGCTAAGTGAGACTAGTGGAAAATTTTAAATCCTAATTTAATTAACTTTCTTGACCTCAGAAAAAGAAAATGTATATAAAGCACACTGACGTAGAACAAGGTTGGCACGTGTTCCCACTGCATCCTGTTAAATCCTATTTAATCTTTTTTACCGTAATTATTTGCGTTGTGACTAGCAAATCTGAGATTTGCCGAGATATAGAACCCCATGTCAGTGATCGAGCGATTCCCTGTCTCAACCAGCTCCAGCAATCAGGGTCAGATGGTTTCTCGTCTAACTATATTACAAAAATTGCGATTTAAAATATATATGTGGAAGTTTAAAAAATTTTTCAAAGCCGGAAATTATAAAATTATTTTCAATAATGAAAGAACAGTTCTTTTTTTTGTTAAGTTCACTTTTCTTTTTTTTTCCTTCTTAAAAAATAGAAACGCCAAATAATGCTAACAGAAGTATTTGCAACTTGATTAAATAGAGGCATCAAAAATGTTCAGTTAAGACATGTCGGACATTTTATTTTTTGAAGAAATCGTTAAATTTCATTACAACATCTACCATATGAAAGGAAGGTAAAAGGCAAAGTGAATAAATACTAAAGTGGAACAGACTAAGGAAACGACGACAGGTTGGGCCATAAGGTTTTAATTGGTTTGGAAATAATTTCATAAAATTGACAAATAATCAGATAAGTCAGAAAAAATAGGAAATATTTTTATGATTAGAAGTTAAAAAAGTAGACAACACTGATAGTTAATGACATGAGTCAGTGTTGAATGGAGTAAGTGCTGAAAAATGTAGGCATAAGTCAGCAAAAATAGGAAATATTTTTATTTTAAGGATTTTAAAGGAACTAGTTTAGATTGATTGATTGAAAGAAAAGTATTGGGATTGCGAAAAAGTGATGGTTTGAAGGTAAAGGATAGGAGTAGGAATAATATTGGAATCTAGGATAGGAATAGGGTGAGTT